TTGTGTTTGGATTTTAATTGTTTTCCCTAATGTACTTTCTAAATTTAGTTACCATCAATAAAAATAAACAATTAAACAGATTCCTAATAAGTTTTTGCTATTAATAATTTATATATTGTTCTTATTTTAACCCATTCATAATTTTTTATTTCTTGTTAAAAAAGACATACAAATAGTTTTCCTAATAAATCATATATATTGCTCTTACGTTTATTCACCTATAATTCTTATAATTAGAAGTATAAGTATAAAGAAGAAGATGTAGTTAATGATAAAAACTAAAAAAAGATGAATTTGAATAAAACCATTGAGAATAAAAAAAGCATATGAGAACACGAAATAGTGAAGAAGAATAACGATATAAAAAAGAATGTTTTAGTTAAAGAAGAAAACCGGAAGAAAACAAAATAAAAAAAAAAAAGAAGAAATGAGAAAATGAAGTAGGTGAGGATGAGAAAGAGATCAAGAAAAACCAGAAGAAGAAGAGTTTGATGAAGACCAAAGAGGAATAAGAAGTAGAGAATAAAGAAGGCTAATAAAAATTTAAAAAGAAGAAGAACTGAGAGAATACAAAGATGATGAAGCAGAAGTCAAAGACAATGATGAAGATGAAATAATAGGGTGAGGAATAAGAAAAACGAAAGATATATAAGAGGAATAAGAAAAAAAGTACAAGTCAAATACGATGAAGAAGAAGAAGAAGGAAAATATGAGAAAAAGAAGATCAAGAAAAAAAGTACAAGTCAAAGATGATGAAGAAGAAGAAGGAAAATATGAGAAAAAATAAGATGAATAAATTGGGGCAGAAAAAGAAGGCAAAATCCTTAAAATTGGAAATTGAAGAAGAAGACGAATAAAAACTGAAAAAGAATAAGAAAAATACGAAGAATAACTAAACCAAAAGATAAAGAATAGGAAGAAGAATAGAACAAAATAAAAGAGGAAGAAGAAGAAGAAGACAAATCAGAAGAGAGTAATGAAATAGAAGTTGTAGACGATGAAGAAGAGGAAAGAAAAGATAAGGAACAAGAAAATTGACGTCGATGATAAAGAAGAAGGAAAAGACGAAGAAGAAGACCGAAAAAAGGAAAAAAAAAATCATAATAAGAAAAATTATGACAAGACGAAAAATGTTAAAGAATAAGAAGGGGAAATGAGTGATGAATTTGGAGAGAAAGGGTGAGACAGAGAGAAATTGAGTTAAAGCTTTCAGAGACATATAGATGCTTCAGAGACATGTCGATGGAGAGAGAGAGTGTGAGAGAGAGAAAGAGAGAGAGAGAGAGAGGGAGAAAAAGAGAAAGACAGAGAGAGAAAGATAAATGGTAGAGAGTTAACCTTATAGGTACATGATATTCAATCTATGTTAGCTCATATTTTTTGTGTTCTTATTTTTTATTTTCGAAATACTTCTTATTTTAAATGTAGTTATCTAAATCATATGACATATATAAATTTAGGACGAGGAGGAAAGGAGAGAATGAGAGATAAATATTGAAAGAGGGATGGACACATGGATGAGGAGAGAGAAATAGTTAAAGTTTTCAAGTACATATATTTGATTGATATAAATAAATGAAGGAAAATAAGAAGAATATAAAGTTGGAGAGAAAGAAGAAGACAAAGGCGATGATGAAGAAGAAGAAGAAATAAAATAAGAAGAAGATGAGGAAAACAGAAAACAAGAAGAAGATAAGACAAAAAAAAAACTTAAAGAATAAGAAGTAACAAAAGAGATATAGAATGAAGAGGAGAAAGAAAAATAAATATAAGAAAATGAAAGAAAACTAAGAAGAAAACGTGAGAGAAGAATGAGAGATAAAGATGGAAGACGATTAAGAAATAAAAAAAAAATAAAAAAAATAAAAAACTAAAAGATAAAAAAGAAGAAGAAGAGAAACAATTATGTAAAGACGAAAAATTCGATTTTGTCTTAATTCAATTGATTTGTGAGTTCAATAGTAAATATATATATATATATATATATATATATATATATATTATTTTAGATGGTGTTTTCTTTTTGGGATTTACTTTATTTTATTATATATATATTAAATAATTGTTTTTAATTATTTTTAGTTTTAGTTTACAATCAAGAAGTATGCATGATATACTCAAAAATGATGACGTTTTTGGTGGGAAATCATTGTATTTGGAGGAGATTTCAGGCAAATATTGCATGTTATTGTAGGAGGTAATAGCACCCAAACTCTTATGGCTACCATAAATTCTCCTACTTTATGGGACAGTTGTACAGTTTTAGAACTAACCAAGAATATGAGGCCTTAAAATGGTGCTGGAGGTGATCGCGTTAATGAGCTAGAGGCCTTTTCAAAGGGGATTTTAGATGTAGGAGACAGCAAAATTATTTTGACTGACAACGATGAAGCTGAGATTGAAATCCCTGACGATTTACTGATAAAAGAATGTGCTGATCCTTTTAAAGAGATAGTAAGAGAAGTGTATGGTGATTCATACAGATCGGAAAGAGATCCAAAATTTTTTCAAGATAGAGCAATTCTTAGCCCAAGAAATGCAGACGTGGGATTAATAAACAAATACATGTTGTCAGAAATAAAAGGTAAACATATTTAACGCTTTACACATACGATCTTACACATTAGCTTTATAATGTGATCAACTGAACTTCGTAAAACATTTTTCTAGCTGAGAAACATACATATTTAAGCTCGGACAGCATCGATACTTCTGATAAGGGCAAGATTGACGAGAAAGTTTACACACAAGAATATCTTAATAGTATTAAGATCTCAGGATTGCCAAACCATGAATTGAAATTGAAAATAGGGACACCTATTATGTTGCTTTGGAATATTGACCTTAAAGGTGGTTTATACAATGGAACAAGACTCTTGGTAACACAGTTGGCCAAATATGTTATTCAAGCTAGCCACATAACTGGAGAATATACTGGTCAAAAGGTCTTGATCCCACAAATGTTTGTTTCTCCCACAAAGACAAGATTTCCTTTTAGAATGAGGCGTAAACAATTTTCGGTAGCTATCGCCTATGCAATGACTATCAATAAAAGTCAAGGACAGACTTTGCAAAAGGGGCCTGTATTTACGAAAACCAATATTTTCCCATGGACAACTTTATGTGGATATATCACGTGTTACTTCAAGAGCTGGTTTGAAGATTCTGATAACGAATACAATGGATCAGCCACAAACCAAGACTTTGAACGTTGTATACAAAACCGTCTTTCAAAATGTAAGGAAACAATAGTTTCTTTTTTTAAGGTTTAGAGTTTTACTGTTTAAATGGTTTATTTAATTATTTTTAAATGACATTTTAGTTTACTTTTCCTTTCCCTATTAATGATTGTCCTCATTATCGAAAATCAAACATAAAACAAATAAAATACAAAATAATAATGATGTTTGCAGAATTAATGAATTTTTTAAAAAAAATACAATTATCCAACTAACCAATTTGATGACTCTCTTCCAAAATTAAAAGTTTCTATAATACATTAACATTTTGATATTATACAAAAGAAAAATTAAGTACTCAGCTTCATGGACCTCGCAAACCCGCGTATCGCGCGGGTCCCCAACTACTTATCTATTAAAACCTCTTATTAACCCTGATCGAATTGGATTAGCTCGATTAGGTGAACTTTCTTTGTTCTTCCCATAGTTTTATCATAGACAGAAATGCAAAGAAATTGCCTTTTGACCATTTGGACCAAATATTATTTATAAATAATGTAATTTCTGAACTGAATAAGAATTCAATGTCTTCTTTTTTTTTGTTCAACGAATTCAATGTCTTCCGCACTTGTTCCCCTATGTATGTCAGCATTCAAATTAATCATAATCTTCACAAGCCATGGCAAAAATACTGTGTTCGTATATGTTCATTGGCAATCTTTTCTCTCTTAGCTAGGTAAAAAATTGTATGCCTTGTATTTCATTAAACATGTTTGGGTAATTTCTTACACCAAAATTACAACCTACCAACACACAATTTCTTTAAAAAAAACAATTTACGGAAAGTGATTAAATGTGACTATAAAAGAATTAGATATGCGGATGATCATAAGTATGCGATGATAATGAAACAAATAGTCAGTGACTGCACAACGAATGGAACCAAGATTTAACTTGATCGACAAGAAACGGATTAACGATCTGATGTTTCAAATATTTTCTTTAAACAAAATGAAAACAGAAAGGGAATTCTGACCTAACTTCCCTTTCTATATATATATTTTTGGCATTTAAGAGTCCACATTTACACATCAGAAAACACTAAAGAAAAAATTCATCCTTTATTTAACACTCTAAAAAAAAATTCATCCTTTGACAAGGGGAAACAAGTCATCCTTCTGGAAGTTTAATCACTTTCCCTAATCACGCATATTTCTGATTATTATTAATCACCATTAGATATCCTTTAATATTCATGACTAATATTCATAATGTGACTAATATTCATCCTATTTCTGATTATTATTAATCACCATTCAGTCATGACTAATATTAGTAATATTCATGACTAAAGAATATTAAAGAATATTAAAGGATATTAAAGAATATTAAAGGATATTTCTGAATATTAAAGAATATTGAAGAATATTAAAGAATATTTCTGATTATTATTAATCACCATTCAGTCATGACTAATATTAGTAATATTCAACGAGAGGAATCAGAATTAGATATCCTTTAATATTCATGACTAATATTCATAATGTGACTAATATTCATGACTAATATTCAGTGATTAAGACACTGAATGGTGATAATTTAGTAACAAAAAGAATTTAATGTTCCTTCTATTTCTGATTATTATTAATCACCATTCAGTGTCTTGATCATGAATATTAGTCATGAATATTAGTCATCCTTCTAGACGGTGTGCCACCTAATTCTTATCTTTTTTTGGTGGTCCTCAAGCACAACTGTGTATGTAGTATATATACAAGCTGTTTTGCTTGTGATATAATCATAAAACATTCAAAACCTGACAGTTCTCTTTCGCAGCAGCAAACAATGTCAATCTTGCTCTGTTTCCTCTCTCTCTTACCCATTTTCTTAGTTTCCTTATCAATCTTCTCTAAAAAGCTCAAAAGATGGAAGCTTCCTCCAGGCCCGCAGAAGCTTCCAATCATAGGAAACTTACACAACGTCAAAGAGTTGACTCACACATGTTTTCGAAATCTCTCTCAGACGTTCGGACCAGTGATGCTTCTCCGTTTCGGATACGTTCCCGTGGTCGTGATCTCATCGAGAGAAGGAGCAGAGGAAGCTCTCAAGACCCACGATCATGAATGTTGCAGCCGACCAGAGACGGTAGCCACCAAAATGCTTTCTTACAACTTCAAAGACATTGGATTCGCGCCTTATGGTGAGGACTGGAAAGCGTTAAGGAAGCTCGCGGTTATAGAGTTCTTGAACGCGAAAAAGCTGAAGTCTTTCAGGTATATCAGAGAGGAAGAGAACGTCTTTTTGGTCAAGAAACTGACGGAGTCGGCTCTGACAGGATCTCCGGTGAATCTGAAGAAGGAACTTTTCACGCTCGTCGCGAGCATCGTGTGTAGGCTCGCGTTTGGAATCGATATCCACAAGTGCAAGTTCATCGATGAGCACAACGTTGCAGATCTAGTTCACAAGTTTGAGTTGCTCATCGATGGTTTTGCGTTCTCTGATTTCTTCCCTGGAGTTGGTTGGCTTATCGACCAGATTTCCGGCAAGAACAAGACATTGAACAATGTTTTCTCTGAACTAGACACTTTCTTCCAAGATGTGCTCGACGAACATCTTAATCCCGGAAGAAGAGTATCAGAGACCCCTGATGTCGTTGATGTGATGGTTGATGTGATGAAGAAGCAAGAGAAAGATGGAGACTCATTCAAGCTCACCACAGATCATTTCAAAGGAATCATCTCGGTAAAAAAATCTTACTCTAGACTTCAACACCTTTGTCATTTTGAGACTCTAAACTGAACTTAAGCGTTCTGTGAATATTTCAGGACATATTTCTTGCAGGAGTGAACACAAGCGCCGTCACTCTAGCCTGGGCTATGACAGAGTTGATCCGAAACCCGAGAGTGATGAAGAAAGTACAAGAAGAGATTCGGACATCACTCGGGGACAACAAGGAGAGAATCACAGAAGATGATCTCACCGAGCTTCACTACTTCAAGCTCGTGGTCAAGGAAACATTCAGATTACATCCAGCAGCTCCACTTTTGCTTCAAAGAGAGACAATGTCTGACATCAAGATCCAAGGCTATGACATACCCGCTAAAACCCAGATGGTCATCAACGTTAACTCGATCGCACGCGATCCAAAACTCTGGACAAACCCAGATGAGTTTAATCCTGAAAGGTTTGTCGATAGTTCCATAGATTACAAAGGACTAAACTTTGAGCTTTTACCATTTGGTTCTGGCCGGAGAATCTGTCCAGGGATGATGATGGGAATCGCAAACGTGGAAATGGGACTATTGAATCTGCTCTACTTCTTCGACTGGGGATTGCCTGAAGGGAAGACTGTGAAAGACATCGACTTGGAAGAAACCGGATCGGTCATTGTCAGCAAGAAAGCAACTCTTGAGCTTGTTCCGCTGCTTCATAACTGAAATAACGATCACGAAATACAATTAGTCAGAAAGATAATGTATTTGTTGTACTCAGATTCTTGATTTTAGTTTTGTAATATTTTGCATTATAATAAAGATGATTTATCTGAAAAAAAAAAACATAAAGTAACAGAGAAACACAAAACAGTCTTTGTCTTCACACATGAATTTTCACAAACAGCTGGTGAGCAATGCAATTTCCCACATACAAAAAAAAAACTTTTTTTATCAATATTAAAAGGGACTGGACACAGATATAACAAGAATCTAATTCAGGGTGCAAGAATCTACTAGCACTTGTGAGGTTCGGTCCCCAATTACTTTTACCCTCGGTCCAAGTCGTACAAGCTGATCGAATTCTCTTGTTACAGAGTCTAATCTCAAGAAGAAGAAGAAGAAACTAGGTTACACGAAGAAGAAGAAACTAGGTTACAAGGAGAAGAAGAAATTAGGCTCCAAGAAAGTCTCTACGAAGAAGATGAATTCTCTGTCTCCCTCTCTCTCCACTTTAATTCCTCTGTTTTGCTCCGTACAACAACCTTGTAACGAACTTAAACTTGGGCCTATTAGAAACCGAGGTCCATCTTCATAAGCCCATTTGAATTGTCTAACCCGAGAATGACCTAAACTAAGTACCAAACCAGCTTGTAACCGAATCCGGTTAAACCGATAGGCAAAACTAGAGTTAACACAACTTTATCATTTCCATTACAGAATTAGGGGAAATAGGGTAATTCCGTATATTTTGAAGGACTCGACAGTCGACGACTCACTAGTTGTTGTTTTTTTGTGACAAAAATATTCTTAAGGGCTCTGGTAGAGTGAAGTAAGGAATATAACAAACCGAAGGTTAGACTTAGGATTTCTTTTTTCTAATGGGTTTGAGAGTCCGTTTTTGAGGTTATAAATACAGATTTAGGGATTTGTAATTGATCATTCACACAATCAATAAAGAAAACCTAAAAGGGTGTTTACCTCAATTGCGATCTTTTCTATAGTTTATTGTTTTCTTCGTGCTTGATTCACAACAAGTGGTATCAGAGCTCAAGGTTTTCCGCGAATTATCATGACGAAAGGAAACTCTCTCAAGTTCGATATACCTAGATTCGATGGGAAGGAAAATTTTGGGTTATGGCAAAGTCGAGTCAAGGATCTGCTGACGCAGCAGGGTATGAAGAAGGCGTTGTTAGAGAAGAAACCGGACAAGATCGAGCAGGATGATTGGGATGATATGCAGGATCAAGCTGTTTCAACGATTCGACTTTGTTTCTCCGACGATATTACAAATCAAGTGATTAACATCACGACTTACAAAGAGATGTGGGACAAGTTGGAGAAGATGTACATGTCAAAATCGTTATCCAGCAAGCTGTATCTGAAACAGAAGTTATTTGGGCTCAAGATGGCGGAATCAGGCGATCTTATTGCTCATATTAACAATTTCAACAAAATCATTGGAGATCTTACGCGTGTGGATGTGAAAATTGAGGACGAGGATAAAGCCATGATTCTGCTGTGTTCTCTTCTTCCTCAGTTCGAGACGTTGGTGACAGCTATTACAGTCGATAAAACGACTATATCGCTGGAGACGATTTGTAGTTCGCTGCAATCTCATTGGGAAAGGCGGCAGAACACTACCATGGGCGACAAGTCTCAAAGTGATGGTTTGTACGTGAGTAGCAACCAGCAACGAGGAAGGCAGGAAAAGAAGCAGGATGGAAGTAAAAGGGACAAGTCGAAGTCTAAACCAGGAAAGAACTTGATGTGCTTTGGTTGTGGTCAGAAATGCCATTCTCGAAGGGATTGTCCGAACAAGAAACAGAACGGTGGATCTGGTTCTGCAAACGCAGTTCAGAAGGAGGATTCAGAAGACAGTATAGGCGATTTGTTGGCTGTGACATCTGGTAATCACACAGACTCGTGGATCCTAGATACAGGTGCATCATTCCATATGACTCCTCACAGAGAATGGTTTGAGACGTACAGGGCTGGGAATATGGGATCTGTTCAGTTGGCAAACGACATGTCATGTGGTGTTGTTGGTACTGGAGAGATCAAGTTTCGTATGCATGATGGCATCATCAGAACATTGACTGATGTTAGGCATGTTCCAGGAGTGAAGAAAAATTTGATCTCTTTGGGGACTCTTCAAAGAAATGGATTCAGACTCAGAGGTGATGAATATGAAGACGTGTTGAAGGTCTGTAAGGGTTCTTTGGTGGTGATTAAAGGAAAGTTGACAGCTGGGAACATCTATAAGATGTTATGGAGTATAGTTGTAGGTGGAGCTGCAGCTGCTGTGTCTGAATCCGATTGCACAGCTCTTTGGCATATGCGTCTGGGGCATATAGGAGAGCATGGGTTGCTTGAACTCCATAAGAGGGGTCTTCTGGACGGGTTAAAGAGTTACAAAATGGACTTCTGCAAGTTCTGTGTGATGGGAAAGCAGTCTAAAGTTTTATTCAAGACAGGACAACACACGACAAAAGGTCTTTTAAACTATTTCCATTCTGATGTCTGGGGTCCAACTCGGGAACAGTCATTGGGAGGATTTAGGTACTTTGTCATCTTCATTGATGATTTCTCCAAGAAGGTTTGGGTGTACTTTATGAAGCAGAAATCTGAAATTTTTGCAAACTTCAAGGTTTGGAAGGCTGAAGTAGAAACCAGGTGGAGAGAAAGGTTAAGTATCTAAGATCAGATAATGGCACAGAGTATACTGACGGGGAGTTTCAGAAGTTCTGTGAGGAGCATGGCATTCAAATACACTTCACTGTCAAGAAAATGCCTCAGCAAAACGGTGTCAGTGAGAGGATGAACCGGACAATTGCAGAGAAGGCAAGGTTTTGAGGTTGAATGCAGGACTTCCTAAGCAGTTCTGGGCAGAGGCAGTAAACATGTCAGTCTACCTCATCAACAGGTCGCCTAAGAGTTCCTTAGAAGGGAAAGTCGCTGAAGATATTTGGACTGGGACAGATGTTGATCTGTCAAACTTGAAGATATTTGGATGTCCAGCTTACATGCTAGTTCCAAGTGACGAAAGATCTAAACTGGATTCAAAATCCAAGAAGTGCATATTTCTGGGTTTTGGAAAAGGAGTGAAAGGCTTCAAGTTATATGATCCTGTTGATAAGAAGAGGGTGTGCAGTCGAGATGTGGTCTTTGATGAGCAATATATGGTGCAGCATGCGAGATCAGAACGAGTGCATGTGATCATTGAGACTGGAACGGATTCTGCTACATCACAGGATGAGTCTAGTGAACCTAGACAAGCAGCAGAACGTGATGAGCAACCTGTTGAGGTAGAGCAGGACGTTCAACATAGAAAAACAGAGGAGAGTTTGGCACTTCAAAGACCAAGACGCATCATTAAGCCGCCTGAAAGATTAGGGTTTGAAGACATGGCGAATTATGCTCTGATGGTTGGTTCAGGTGATCCAGCAAACTTTAGAGAGGCTATCTCAAGTCTCGAAAAAGATTTCTGGATTGGAGCTATGACAGAAGAGAATGAGAGCCTTGACAGGAATCAAACATGAGATCTAACGCCTTTACCAAAAGGCAAGAAGGCAATAGGATGCAAGTGGGTTTTCATTGTAAAACCTGGGATGTCTGAGAAGGAACCAGTGAAGTACAAGGCAAGGTTGGTGGTAAAGGGTTACTCACAGAAGAAAGGGGTTGATTATGACGAAATATTCTCCCCAGTATTTAGGCACACTTCTATTCGAGCTGTGCTGGGTTTAGTAGCGAGCTGGGATTTCATCTTGATCAGATGGATGTAAAGACAGCATTTCTTCATGGAGATCTGGACGAAGAGATTTATATGGAGCAACCAGAAGGGTTTGTGAAACCAGGAGAGGAGAAGCTTGTGTGCAGACTTAAGAAGTCTTTGTATGGACTGAAGCAAGCTCCTAGGCAATGGTACAAATGTTTTGACTCTTACATGGTGAAGATTGGCTACAGAAGTTGTGAGTATGATTGCTGCGTCTATTTAAGGTATCTGGACGACCATTCTTCCATATACCTACTGCTTTATGTTGATGATATGCTCATTGCTGTGAAAGATATGGAGGATATTGATAAGCTGAAAGAGTTGTTGAAGAATGAGTTTGATATGAAGGATCTTGGTGCTGCAAAGAAGATCATTGGGATGGAAATTCGCAGAGAAAGAAGCTCAAGGAGATTATGGCTTTCTCAAAAGAACTATATTCAGAAGATTGTAGACAGGTTTGACATGAAAGATGCAAAGATAGTGTCTACACTTTTGGCAATGCATTTCTCACTTTCAGCGATGCAGTGTCCTAAGTCTGATCAAGAGATCAGAGATATGTCGAAAGTTCCTTATGCAAGTGCAGTTGGTTGCTTGATGTATGCTATGGTGTGCACTAGACCTGATTTAGCACAAGCAGTTAGTCAAGTGAGCAAGTACATGTCCAATCCTGGAAGAGAACACTGGAAAGCCGTCAAATGGATTTTCAGATACTTAAAGAGTACAAGTGATCTTGGGCTTATGTTTGGTGGTCAAGAGAGTGGCTCAGTTGTGGGATACATGGATTCAGATTATGCTGGTGATCTAGACAACATAAGATCTTCTACATGGTACGTTTTTACTCTTGCAGGAGGTCCTATTTGTTGGAGATCTGTGCTACAGTATGTTGTTGCTATGTCTACCACCGAAGCTGAGTATATGGCAATAGGAGAGGCAGTTAAGGAAGCACTTTGGGTTAAGGGACTTGTGACAGAATTGGGTGTTGATCAAGGTGGAGTTCTACTTCACGGCGATAGTCAGAGTGCATTATCTCTGGCTAGGAATCCGGTGTATCATGCAAGGACGAAGCACATTCATGTCAGATTTCACAAGATCAGAGAGTTGTCTGCATCTGGAGAAGTCTTGTTGGAGAAGGTGCACACGTCAGAGAATGCAGCTGATATGTTGACCAAGCCCGTTATTGTGGAAAAGTTCAAGCATTGCTTGGATCTGCTCCATGTCTTCAAATGCTGAAGAACCTGAAATCTCCCCGAAGTGATTGGAGTTTGAAGGTGACTTTATGGAGGTTTTTTGTCAAGGTGGAGATTGTTGTTTCTTGGTGACAAAAATATTCTTAAGGGGCCCTGCTAAAGCGAGCTAAGGAATGTAACGGGCCGAAGGCTAGACTTAGGATTTCCTTTTTCTAGTGGGTTTGGGAGTTAGTTTTTTAGGTTATAAATACAGACTTAGGGATATGTAATTGATCATTCACACAATCAATAAAGAAAACCTAAAAGGGTGTTTACCTTAATTGCGATCTTTTTCTATAGTTTATTGCTTTCTTCATGCTTGATTCAACACTAGTCAACAGACCAACTTGGCCTATTCTATAAACTTGGTAATCTTAGACTAGTAAATATATATATATATATATATATATATATATATATATATATATATTTTACAGCAATTGGACTCAAATGTGTAAGACCAGGTCCAAACTTTTTTAAGGATTTTAGGATTGTGTTTCTTAGCAATTATGGGGTAAAACAAAAAAAAAATGTACATAAAAAACGATCTTTGCAGAAGGAATTTAAGGAGCAATTTTTAGAGAGTTTTTTCGGTTAGGCGTAAAGCGCTCATTGGTGTTCGGTTAAAAAAAATTGTGACTGATTCTCTCTCCAAACTTGGACCATAAATTGTCCATCATTTTCTCTTTCCATCATTTTGGTTGGCGTTTTTTCTATCTCTTTACTGTTTATAATTTTTTTTTTTAAAAATAATTTAATATTTTTAAGAACTTTAGAGAGGAATTCTCTAATGTACATGATTTAGTTGATTCAAAACAAGAAGATTTCAGGCTCAAGAAAAGAAAAGCTTATTGACATAAAAGCTAAAGCTAAAGAAGATGGCTCATAGGAGTTTTATACTTTTATTCAACGAATAAATGAAAAAGAAAGAGGAAGGAATTTTAATTGTCACCAAGAACAAAAAAGATTTAGATTGATATTCATAAAAGAAGGAAAGCGAGTTGCGCAAATTGCAACCCCCAAAATTACGTCATTGATGTTCATTAAAATACTATATATATATATTGTTGGTAAAAACCCTGGTAAAACCCTAATTACATGATTACATGGTTTGTGAACTCATTACTCATATTGGATAGGACTGGGTGCGAAGCGGATATCCTGAATTTTGAGGACCGCTCCGTTCCGTCCGGATAATCATGTTTTCGATCCGTATCCGCTCCGTAACTATCCGGATATCCATTTTCCGGATATCCGCTAAATTTCTAAATATTTGTTGGATATCCGATCCGCCCCATAAAAATATTTAAATAATAATATATTTAAAATAAAAATTTTAAAAATCAAAATTTAGTTAAAAATGACAATATTTTCTTTAAAAAAATAATTTTTTTTCTTAACTTATTAAGTTTTAATATTTATAATATCAAATTTATAAACAAAAAATTCACAAACATTACATTTATATATAATAATTATACACTCTATATGAATTATTATCTATCTATATATATATATATTTATACCAAAGCGGAGCGGATATCCGTCTTAATTTTTTTTACTATTTGTGATTTGCTCTATTTTTAAATTTTAGTATTTGCTTTGCTCCATAAAATTACGGATATCCGGATTTTTCAGATCGAATCGAGACGGATAACGGATCGAAGCAAATATAACGGATATTTGCCCAGCCCTATTGGATAATAGGGTTTAGCCGTTTAGGGTTTGTGTTGGACATTTTATGTGTGCTCTAATAATATGATGAACCACTTATTTTTTCATTCGACACATATCATAACATATAATATTTTTATATGTACAATCCGCAAAATCTAGATAAAATCAGGCACTAGATTTCCAGTATGTTCAAATTTTTACCACTACGTACTCTTTTCTCATTTCTCAATAGCAATACTTCACATTTACGTACATTAAAAGAATACATAAATTTCACGCAAACACAAACAACATATCAAATTTAAATTTCGGAAACAATATATTCAACGACGAAACGAGACTCCGAGTCACCTGCTTACAAAATCACACCTTATACATATGCCAAATCACGTTAACCAAGAAAAAAAATATAACCCAAATTATTCTATAACATTGATAATTAATCAAGTCTAATTTTTGACTCTCTTATTTTGAATCTCTAGTCCGTTCCGATGGATCACCACCACCAAAAAGCTTCTCCATCTCCTCCAATGGCAATCCTTTCGTCTCCGGCAACATAAAGAAGAAGAACCACCATGCCGCCACGGCCATTGCAGCGAACAAGAAGAACGCACCGCCCGTCGTGATCGCCTTTGTTATCGACAGAAAACTCATCGAGATCGTCGCGTTCATGATCCTATTAACCGCAACGCCTATGCTCGCTCCCTGAGCCCTAAGTCTCAACGGGAATATCTCCGAGCTGTACACCCACGTGATTGGCCCAAGCCCGATCGAGAAAAACGCTACAAACGCGTACGTAGAGACGATGCTCGATCGCAACGCCCACTCTAACCGCCCAAAACGCTGAACCATCGTCAGACTAACTGCTAAACTTATCAACGCTAAAACCATACCACCCGTGCTTGTCAAGAGAAGCTTTCTTCGACCTAACTTGTCAAGCAAGAAAGTAGCTATTATTATGAAAACGGCCTTTGTTAAACCTACACCGACCGTTGCGAGTAAAAGCTTGTCTTTTGACATTACTCCGGCTTTCTCGAAAATCCTCGGGCTGTACAACACGACCGCTTCGATCCCTGTAGCATGCTCGAAAAAATGTATCCCCACGGCTGCGATCAAAATCAAACGCACCGCAGGTCTAGGTTTTATCAACATCTCTCTCCATACACTTTTGCCTTGGTGATTCTTCTTCTTCTTCACGCTACCGCCAACCGCTTTCACCGTTTTATCATCGTCTATTTCCGCAGCGGTTAACATGTCTCTGAAGCGTTCTTCAGCTTCTTCTTCGGTGTTTGATACCAAAACCATTATTTTCTTGGCCTCTTCTAACCTACCTTGCATCACAAGCCACCTCGGAGATTCAGGCATTTTCAAGATCCCGAACGTCAAGATCAAAGAAGGAATCGCGGCGATTCCAAGCATCAATCTCCAACCGAGTTTCAATGTCAATTTCCCGAAACAGTAATTCGAGACGTAGCCTAGTAAAATCCCGACACTAATACAAAGCTCAGGGAGAGAAGTGAGAAAGCCTCTATGTGAAGCAGAGGATATCTCGGCTGAGTAAACCGGAGCTATCATTAGAGCAAACCCTACACCAACTCCGGCGATACATCTTCCGATCATCAAAACGGCGTAGTTTGGTCCATAGCCCATAAGAACAGAGCCCACTAAGAATATCATGGAGGAGAGAGCAATGGTGTAACGTCGACCGATGACGTCAGAAGTTTTTCCCGCCGTTAAAGATCCGACGAGAGCACAGAGATTCAAGATTCCCATCAAAACTTCGATCTTAGTATCGTTTATTTTCAGATCTTTTCTTATAAAGATCTGAGCTCCGCTCATAACTCCCGTATCTAATGACAAACACAATAACGAAAGACAGAAGAATCAATCAGAATTTTAGACAAACAAGAAACAAGACGTGGACAATAAATTCATCGATTTAAATATATTAGCATATGATTTACCATATCCAAAGATGATTGAAATGATGGAAGCAACAATCGCACACCCGCAAGCGAATTTGTTCATATGGGTCGGCTTTGGATCCGACCCGGGTGAACTATGACCATGAACCATGTTGAGTGTTTCTTCTCTTTTTTTTTTGTATTTTCTTGTGATGAATATTAGAATAGATGATTGTATCGATTTAGTGTCTTTCATAGTATATTTATACGCACTGACACACATGAAGACTCGATATATGTCCACCAGTTGTATCATTTTAGTGGAAAATGACGATCAGAAACTTCAACAGTGTTCGTGGGGGCCCACGTATTTAGTCTGGTACGAGAATTAGATTTCTGCGAAATGTAATGTATTTGATTTATGCATTTACCTAGCTAACTTATAAGTTTTAAAGGAGAAGAAGCAAAATTTGAAATAATCATACAACAACAACAACAACAACAACACCAAATACATGTCATCCGACAAGTATAGTCAGTCTTTTAAACTTGATTTATATTAAGCACTGATTCTATAAAAATAAATTAATCTAAGAAATATTTGAAAACGCATGTATATAGACCTTAGTTATATATAAAACAATTCACACATTAAAATATGTTAAAAACAAAAATTGCGCAAGGCCTTCAAATAATTTGAGAAGCCTTAGTTTTACGTGAATCCTTAATTTGTTTTCTCATAAGACAACACAAGACAAATAACTTTGAATTAGTAATATATTTATATCGCACGTGTCATCCCTTATATGTATATGAAACTAAAAACACTTAAAATTTCGTCATTGGTAAACAATATTCATAATTTCTAATATGATAAGATCAAAGATCGTTATGATATACAAATTGCAAAAAAAAGGGTCCCTATCTTCTCCACTTTCGGCATTTTCCTGATATATGTTAGATAGTGATGAAACCTTTAAAGATTCTTTCCCACATTTATGTAACTTGGTGCACTAAAAATATAAGGGATGCGCAGTTTTGAGTGATAGTTTTAAGCTTCTAATGAATTCGATTTATGATTTTGATCAAACAGACCAACACTAAGACTTATCATTACATAAACTCCATTTTGTATATGATATATTGAAAAGAAAAAAAAAACATATCTTTTTGGGTTGGAGCCGGCTTGCGACTATAATGTTCAGTTTAGCATGATGGAAACTACTGAAGTTACCAATTGTATCTGTTATTCATTTCTTTACACGGAGTATTTTATGGTTTAAAAAAACTTTGGGTTAAATTTTCAAATTTATTGTTCACAAAAAAAAAAGATATTTTACATGATGGAAAAAGAAGAATACGTGCCGAAAATAGTTTTGATTTGATTTCTTGAAAAACATACTATGAATCATGAAAATCTATACTTAAACAACTGCATTTCGCATACTTTTTCACTTTTTTGATGGAAAGACATATAGTCACTATCATAAATATTGAAAAACCGGATAAAGAGTCATACTTAATCGGAATATGAGGTTAAATGAATTTGTTGGGTAAGAAATTATACTGCACGGATTCACGATATTTAATTTGATGAATTTTAAATAATATATTTTTTTAATCCAAATATTTTTGGTTTTTAAGGTGGAATTCCAAAAAACTACCATGTCGATAATACCATATATTATAATAAAATCGAAGTGATGAAGTACTGTTATATTAGAAACTAAGTTGGTATAATTTTGGATCTAATAGGTTTCGGACATAGTCTAGTCCGAACCTTGACATACATTCTAGTCCAAAGCTGCATATGTGATCAAAAGCTTGAGCCCAACCATATATATGACAGATCAATCATTTTGGTCAATGATAAAAAAAAAAAAAAGAAAGAAATCTTCTGGAAGATGAGAAAGAGAAATTCAAAGTAAACTTGTGATCGTATTAGTTGGGATGCATTTGGCCGACACAACTAGAAAGACAAGTTTTCGGGACTTTCCGATAAATTTGATAACTTGGGTAGGTTAGATCATATGGGCAGGTCGTATTTCTCTTAACTTTATATCAATTTTGTTTTTAAGTAATTGAACGTAATTTTAACCTTTATAACATAACTGTGGATTAAAAAAACATCATTAGGATCAAAGAACCTGAAGAAACAATAAAATGCACTATTTTGAAACAAGAAGTGATGATTTAGTTCTTGAATGGATGGAGATTCTTGTAAGTGATTTTGGAATTTAGTATTGGATTTTTTAATTTTTAGAAGTTGATTTTGTTTAGTTTTTTTTTTTTTTTGAGAAAACCATTAAATGCTTCTTAACTTTTCTACTGAAAATACAGACACCCATTCACATGTTTCCAGGGTTTTAAGCCTTTTTTTTACTTATTAGCTATTTATAAGCATTTTAAAATGTAAATTAAATTATTTTAAAGCAAATATATTAATTAAACTACTATAGTAGTATATATCTATACTAATATAATTTTTAATCAATATTTTAGTTAAAGAATTCATCGTGAGTGGAAGCAAAATGATGGACAAACATTTGGAATGAAACTGAGGCCATCAAAGTTGGCCAAACTATTTGTTGGTACGATTATTTGTAGCATATATGGTCATCAAGTTCACGAAATTGTTGGACCTCTACTTTTTTCTTCTTTTTGTAAAGATGACATCCAACAAGTAACATATATGTATGTGTGCACCTTATTTGGCAGAAACTGATAAGTAAAAAAAATTTCATTTTAAAATGTAGCTAATTATTTACTTTTTGGTCGAAAAATGTAGCTAATTAATTAACAGATTTTTTCTTGAGAAACAAAATGTAATTTCTTCACAATTAAGAAAGTATTTCTTTTTTTTTTTGCGAAAATTTAAGAAAGTATATCTGGTTCAATCTGTTGAAGCACACACATAAGAAATCCAATATTATGAAAATAACCACAAGTCCATGTAATAAGAATTTCCTAACAAGTAGAGATTCATACATATATATATATATATATGTGTGTCTGTGTGTCTGTGTGTGTATATGAGCAACTCTCTTTCTTCCTCTTTTTCTTAAAAATAAAAAAGATCTCCTTCTTCTCTTTTTCATCTTAATCAAAATCAATTGATAGTGTGGTGTTCTTGAAACTTTTCTTTTTATTGTCACTAAAAAAATCAAACAAGCTAGAACCTACATTGTTTATGACATGCGTATATGAGCTTAATAGATTTTACTTCACTTCAGGGTTTTTTTTTTCTTTTTTCTTTTTGTCAACAGCTTATTTTGAAAATATGAGGTACAAAAATGGCGAAAAAAAAAAAAACTTTTTTGCATGATCTCAATTCGGTATTATTTTTTATCTTGCTTACATAAGCTTTATTTAGTTTAAAAAAGTTACAAAAAAATGTAGGGAAGACAACAAAATATATTTTACATGAGCTCAATTGTTTAGCTAATTATTATTGTGTGTTGTAAACAAACAAGAGATAATTGCACCAGATGCAAATAAGTTTGAAATGATAATATAAGAAACAATGAGCATGTATCCTTAAACCTTCTTCTCTATAATGGTGAATGACACAACTCAGACATATCAGTGTCAACTCCCACAATTAGTTCATAAAACTCCAGATGCAGATGGATATCATTCCACACCTAGAAATCAAAACGCTAGCTGCATGAAAATGAGACATCATTGCATCCAGAGTAAGTTTCTTCTTATTGCAAACTTTGCAATTTGGATCATAAATATTGATCAGCTTCGCATCTGAAAAAAGTATACCATCAGAAAACAGCAAAATGCAATCACAAATCCATCCATCAGACAAGATAATCAGAGTGTGAGACCACAAACCAAAATTATGGGCCTAAGACTAAATATGTAGTCTATAAAAACTACATGGTGGTCATAGACCTAGCCTAGCCCGCCTGCCCTACATTAATATTGACCAAGTCTTGTAGTACTTGCTTCTCAAATGATAGACAACTATGTGAGACTGAATCGGACCTAAATTAGAAAATGTAGCTCAACTAGGACTTAAAAGGAATCCTACCTACACCTAAACTTCATGGCTCATACAAGGAATTTATATGGCTTATTGGTCTGGCACACAGTGACACAAATTAAATCTAGTGAAGCAAGAACATACCAAATTTAAGTACAAATAGAAACCAGGTCCAAGAGGCTTTGGACACATTTTTTGTTCCTATCTAAGGACAAAATCTAGACCCGTATATATGCATGAGAATGGGTTACTTCCTTTTCTTGTTCATTGCTTTCTCCCTATTACTTTGTGACCTATTCTCTTGTCATGCATATATATACGGGTTATTCAAGTTCCATTTGAGCCTCCAAAACCCTTCTAAAAACCGGACACAATATCTTTGTCTAGAAAGGTAGACAAGGAGTTTGACGTGGTCTAATTAAGCACGGGATCAAGAGATATGTCTAATGTTTGCATTGGAATTTTTTTTTTTTCCAACGACACGTTAAATTGAAAGAGAATTCCATGATTGGTTGTCCAATCGGTTGGAAAAGAGTTTATAAAAATAACATCAAAGAACTGACCTTAAAAGAGCTGGCTAAACATCGAATCTAAATGTTAGGGAATAGGTTTCTTAACCTTTTATACAAATTGATATGGAATTTTTTTTTCCAGATTTTGTAAGACGATAAATAATATCTAATGTTTATATCTGCAAATTAACGGGATATCTTTTGAACAGATCTCTTTTTTTTTGTCAACCCCATGCATTTTAAGGGTTGGAAGTTGGATGATGACATATGATTATGCTTGTACAAACCACTATGTAACGTGTTATTTATAAAGTAATTTTTTAGAAGATTATTTTCATCTTATCAAAAACTATAAGTATTTTATGGAAATAAGAAATGGAAATGTTTATTTCTGGCGACTTTTTCATTCAAATCAAGAAGTATAACTGCATTTGTGAATCTATAGATTTTCTAGCTAGTTTTGACTAGTGTTTCTAATTATCCCTAAATTAAGGAGATATGTTTCTATTACCAAATTTGTTAAGTGTCCCTCTCATTTCCTTAATATGATATATCTTATTAATGGAAAAAACAAAATCTATGTTATTAGATTGAGTCATTTATATAATGCTTGATTATAAATTTAAAAGTGTAAGCTTTCAATGCAAATCACTCCACCATGCAAACTTTAAATTATATATTAAATTTAATTAACGAAAAGAGTTATTGGAAATATATGTATGTTTTTATGATTTATCACCATTATTATGTAACCAAATCACAAAACAAAATTAAGATAGATGACAAACGTCAACACTCAACAGATATCCTCCTGCGCATGAATTACTATATCCTAAAGTAAAATTAAAAATGTTAACATAATAAATTCAAATTTGAGTATTATCCACATTTTTGTTCTTATTATACACATTTTCAACAACCGAATCCAGGTAAATGACAACAAATCAACTTTTTGTTTCTGCCATATAAATATTACCATAAAAATAGAGGTATTTTTGGAAAAACAAATGAATAATTAAGGATTTTTTACTTCTTAAGATAATACAATCCAATCAAAGGTAACCTCAAGTAGATTTATTTCCTTCGTATCTTAAAACTAATTTCCTCTTAAACGTTTTTATAGCTTATTGCATTAACGCAGGCTTATATAAAAAGGATACATAAGCAAGCGATGTAAAATACAATTTATCTTTCGAAAATGTCTCCAATCACAAATATTTTCAACTCTTACGGTAATGATCATAGAATGAACCATCGTGGATTTGTTCCCATCCAAGGAAACTCCACTTTGAGGAATCATAATTCCAATGTGGTTCGGTCGATGTTCACTTCTGATCACATGAGACATGAAGATTTGTTTTCTTCATCTCCTCTTTTTCCTTCTTATCAAAATTCACATGTCTCTTCATCTTCTTTTGGATTGAACAATTCACTTTATCGTATGAGGAGAGAAGTTGATTCTGTTTCTGGTGTTGATTATTTTCCTATCAAAGATAATCCTCAGTTTTCTCAAGTCTCTTTCACCCAAACTATTACAAATAGGTATTCTGCTATTGTTCCTACCAACACAATTGTCAATGTTCAATATGATATTGAACGTGTCAAACGTGCCTTGGATTCTAATACCAATATTTGGAATCGTCCTTCATTTCATCCTCCAACTTTTGCTGATAATCATAGCGAGATCTTGAACCCTGAACCTCTTAATGTCGTGTTTCCTCACCAAGACTCTGCTTCTCGTCAGCATTTAGACATGTTTTCTTCCTTGTCATCAATGCGAAACAACCATGACCAACATGTTCCCCAAGATGGTCCATCTTTGATGAATAGCCCTAAACCAACCAGGGTTTTTGAAGAAATGAATGGTTATATCGATTCTGAAGAAGACGAGGGAAGTGAAGATGATGATAGCTATGATGGTCGGACGCATAGTCTACCGTATATAAAATACGGTCCATACACATGTCCTAAGTGCAAAGGTATGTTTGAAACTTCACAAAAATTTGCTGCACATATGTCATCTCACTACAAGACTGAGACGACCGAAGAAAGAGGTCTCAGGATTCGCGCAAGGAACAAAAACAAATATCGTAAACTAGAGAACGAACTTCTTGGCGAATCTCAGAAGAACAAACAGGAGGATGGGGCTAGTAGCAGTGGAGTCAGTGGCGATAAATCTCTCCAAGATCTTGTGACGGTAAAGAAAGAGCTTGTTTAGGAATTCGTTTGATTACTGTCTTTTTCAGCTTTGCCCCCAAAAAAAAATGAGTCTATTTCAGCTTATATTATTTATATTAAAATAAAATGCATATTTTTCCCTTTTTGGCATTTCATCATCTTTGTGGTCAATATGGTTGAATGTGCAAAGTTGGGTGGATTGTAATGTTGCTCTTTAATATACTATCTCATATAAATATTAAACCATATATATATATATAAATATAATTCGATTTTGCTTTTATATAAATAGTGTTTTTCTTAAAAATTTAATTAGTCGTATGCGTTTGTAATTGTATATGTTAAGCCATATTCAAAAATTAAGTTTACCGTTCAAATGATATACCAAGTATCGACAGAGAGATAAATGTACATATAGTCTAATATATGCACTACTTCATGATGACATGAAAGAATATATCAACTCAATGTTCAACTACGATTTATCAGTTTTTGTCTAAGCAATTAGAGGGTATTTTCATCAAAATGATATATGTCTCCCTTCTCTGTTGCAGATAAAAAAACTTTGATATCTTCTTAGTTTTCTTCTATTCTTTTGGTATATGGTTAATTAACTCTTCTAACAAATCTTTCAAGAAAAATCTGCTTTGTAGTGGAATCGATTGAATTTCACATTTTGTCTTTAGACTCTTTATCTATTAAAGAGCATCTACTTTGTAACTTTATAAATTAACGACAAGTAAAGTAATCACTTTGTAATGTTCTATATATAAACAAAGAAGAACAAATATAAAGTAGAAATAAATAAATGTGGAAAAGAAATGGAGAAAGATGACTTTTGGGACATGAGTTGATGAGTAGATTATATTGTCTCCTTGGATCCTTTCGTCGTTCGTTTCGAGGAAAATGAAAAATGGAAAAGAAATGGAGAGAAAGATTATGGCTTCTTCAACGATTGACGAACTTTTTGTCTCAGTAGACATACAATTTTCTCCTTATGAAATGAGAAAAATATATCTTGTATACTTTTATTGTTTAAAGTGAATTATATCTTCCGAGCGGTAAGTTTTTCCGTGCGATACTGTATTTGACTAGTAAATCATGTATTCAAGATCTTTCGCAATAAAAAGTCATGTATTCAAGTTATACGACCGGTCCTTTTGATTCAAACTCCATAATAGTAAAAGTGTATAACTAATAAAAGTATAAGTTAATAAACAAAAAAAAAAAATCGTTCATCCCATTTGAGCTAAGCTAAATATTAGTCAAAAATTTTACTCTAAATTATTACGAGAGTAAGTTTTTCATTACTCAAAAAATCATTAGAGCGTGGGAAAGAAATGGTTAGGTTGTCACTTGTAGCCTTGTAGGCTTATATCTATTTGATTCTTAAGAGGGAAAAAATGAAAGCATATCATAAGATAAAATTCATTAGTGTTAGTAATATAGCGAGATGGAAATAGATTGGAGACAAGGCAAGAAAGGTTATTTATTAAGGTCGTATAAATCTCTAAATTGAATACTAACTTTAATTGAGTTGACATTTTTTTAATAAAGTTTTGAATTGATGACATCCAAGTTGTGTTACCCTTTTATTTATTGGATATTGTACCTCTCACGGAGACTTGTCAGCACAAAACCTATCATAGATTGACATCATTTTGTGAAAATATAGACATAAACTGTAACCCATTATATAAAGCCAATGACAAATTTATTAGGTCAATATGAGCAAACGATGTTAGGATTCGAGTTAAGAACTTTTATGGCGGGTTCAGCTGTCGATAAGTCATAGATTCAACTAAAACAAGTTAATAACTTAATATAATCTAATGTCAGTACAAAATCTAATGTCGGTATAAGATCTAATCACTTATGACTTAAATGAATATAAAACAGGAATATACATACCAATGTGGTTGTGTTTATATAAGGAGAACTTTATAAATAGAAAGATATAGACAACAGTTCTCATTTGATGCTCTCCATGCTTCTTCAGTTCTCCACACAAAACATAGAGAGAGAAAAAATAAAAACAAAAACAAAAACAAAAAGAGAAAACAAGAAAAAAAAAATGACGAAACGTTTCAAACTAAAGATATCAAGAATCCTCTCTTTCAAATCTTGCCGTTCAAAAGAACCCTCCGATCTCCCTTTCAATCCTGTCCATTCAATCCACCGTCATAAACCTCCTCCACCGGCTAATCATTCCACCGTCGTCACCACCGTGCCACATCGTCGTCGTTCTTCTTTCAGACTACACGTTTTAACAGCTTTTGGCTGCGGCTCAAGACGGCGACGCTCCTCAACGCCGTTGGATGTTTCTTTTAAGAACTCACCGTCGTTATCGCCGCCGCAGACGCCGACGTTTCAGTGGGAAAGCGAAGGGAAGTGGCACGTGATTGCTCAAGTCGACGAGGGAGAATACGAAACGCCTCGTCGGAAAATCTACGACGGAGATGATCGCCGACGTTCAGGTAAGAAGAAGGAGAGAAATGCACGGCGGCGAGGAAGCGTTTCCTCGGCAGAAGAATACGAAGAAGAGACGGAGAAAGAGAGTCTCTTATTACCATCTTCCACAAACCTCTCGCCGGATTATTCCTCGTCGGAGCTGCCACGTGTCACTCGACGACGGCGACACACTCCGAAGAGGAAAAACGCGTCTTCGGTGGTTAAGGAAGAAAGCGAGTCGTCGTCACCTCCGCCATCTCCGGCGAGATTGTCGACGTTTATGCAGAGATTTATGCCGTGTGCGGCGGCTGCGGCGGTTGTGGTGGAAGGAGTGGCGGTGGTGAAGAGATCGGAGGATCCGTACGAAGATTTCAAGGGTTCAATGATGGAGATGATAGTAGAGAAGAATATGTTTCAAGTGGCTGAGCTTGAGCAGCTTCTACGCTGTTTCCTAACGCTAAACGCGAAACGCCACCACCGTGCGATTGTTAGAGCGTTTTCTGAGGTTTGGGTTGCTTTGTTCTCCGGTGGTAATAATGACGGTAGTCAAAGGTCAAGTGTTCGACTCTCAGATTATGATGAGTGTTAAAATAATAATAATGTTTAGATCCTCTGTTTATGATCATGTCTAACTAAATTTGATTTTTATTTTTTAATGTAAGTGGTGTCGATGTAAGTGTGAATGTAAATTATTCGGCGGTGCAATGATTAAAAATTTCAAACTGTAATCATTACCTACTCTAAACTAAATCATATATTTTGTATGATTTGGAATTTAATGTTTATTTAGACGTCATAGATATTCATCAGATTCGTCGACAAAGAAATAAACATTTGATCATATTCATCTTATCACACAATAATCGCTTTTTAAAATAATCTTGTTTTTGGTCAAATTGATACAAGATTGGTTAACAAAGACACTGTGGGTTTCACAATTTACCGTACAACAACAGATGTTCACGTTTTTTTATTTTTCTTATCTTACACGTTCGAGTATAAATGCTTAGTAGATGACACTTGGACGGTCGATGTGGATTATTTTGACGCAGCAAACGAAGTGACAAATGATTGAAATCAATCGAGACAAAAGTTTTAATTAAAAATTGAATATATTTGGTCTCCTACACCTCTCAGAAAACACGCACGCAACACAAATATAGATGTGTCTCTGTCTTCAGTGTTTTTAGGAGTTTTAAACACTGAAGCTGAATCAATCAATGGTCAGAGAGACTATTGGAGTTTGGGCAAGGAAAAGAGTGAAGAGAGAATGGGCCCCTAACTTGAACAGCAAGCCACCTCTGTTCAATCACTTCTGTCTTCTTTTCTTGTTTAGTGTAAAAAGCAACCTCGAGGGTCAGAAGTAAATAATTGAGATTTTACAGCAAAATTTTGGTAAAAATATCAAAGCACACGGCATCAGAGATGATTCTGCAAGAAAAACATCAACATTAAAAACCAGACATGCGCACTACTTTCCACTCTCACTCTCTCTCTCCAAACCAAAGATAAGAGATTCTCTGCAAGAGAATCAGAGACAAGAAAATATAAATAGAATATTGTGTTTTTTCTTTCTCTCTCTCTCTTAGCTATTGTTTTGGATAAGGGAAGGTTTCTTTTAATCTAAGAAAAATCCTTGTGATTACTTGTCCAGGAAGAAAAGGTTCCACAAATGGTTGATTTGGTCCAAGACTCAGCCTTGGTGAGGTGGTGGTGGTGGCGGAGGCATAGACATGTGATGATGGTGGTGCATAGGAGGTTGTTGTTGTGGCGGTGGTGGTCCACCTTGCTGCATGTGTTGCGGCGGCCACCCATGTTGGTGCATTCCCATGGCTTGAGGTGGTGGTGGTGGTGGCCTTGGACCACCGAAACCTTGTTGGTGATGATGAAACTGAGGAGGTGGTGGCGGTGGCATTCCCTGAGGAGGACGGAATTGCATGGGTGGTAAGCCGTGCTGTTGTTGTTGTTGTTGTTGCGGCTGAGATGGCCAAGATGGTGGCTGAGTTTGGTAGACTTGTGGAGGTGGTGGTGGTGGTGCTGGACGAGGGACCGGAATCGGAACAGGTTGCATGCCGCCATTGGCAAACGGTCGTGGTAGACCATTAGCTTGAGGAGCTGTTGGTGGGCCGGTTGCGAATAGCGTATGGGGTCTGCTTTTCTGTGCACTTGGATTTGTGGCAGCTAAAAGCCTCTCTGCATTCACAAAAAGTAATGTGTTTATTGTTGTTCCATCAATAAGAGAGAAAGATTCATGACAATTTGGTCTCGACAAGAGGAGAGTTAGAGAGCCTAACCTGCTGGAGTGCCGTGGCGCTCTCCTTTTGTGTCTTTCTTGTATGCGTAAGAGACTGTTATTTGACGATTACAAAGATATTGTCCGGTCATTGCCTGAAACGGTTACAGAAAGATGAGATGAATATACATTCCTTGGATATTGGATATGTGAGTAGAGAAGTTTTTTTTTTTTTTTTTTCGCAAGAGTAGAGAAGTTATTTAATGTGAAATATGCTGAGACTCATTTCTCGTAGCCAAGTTTATAGAAATGATAGTCATGAAAGAAGCAAAAACAGTAAATTACCTCAATAGCAGCATCAGAAGCATCAAAGGAGTCATAGCTGATGAAACCGAAACCTCGTGAGTTCCCTGTTTCAGGATCTCGCATTATCTGAAATGTCGGAACATCAGAATCAGATTCTTTTCCCACACGAATGGCATAAAACTCATAGTTCACAGATAAGATATCATGAATAATGGACTGAAATCTAACGAAAGTAAGATTATACCTTAGGATTAGCAGCAATCACACCAAATGCGCTGAAAGTATCATACAAGAGCTTTTCATCCACATCCTGCAAAAGCAAAAGATAGTCAGCTATTGTTGAAGTACCGATTTTTTTCAGACTATTACAGACAAGATACTTACAGGGTCGAGATTTCCAATGAAAAGGTTAGCACCAACATCCAAGCTCTTCTTATCTTGAGACGCCTAAACACAATATTTTTTTTTTTTGTCAGATAACAAAATGTTAGCAACTCCTAGGAAGACAATTAATTACACATCTCTGCATCAAACTCACAACAGAGTTCTAGATTCCAAGAATTTCTAAATACAGAAAAAGATGGGATGCTTAACAACGAAAGTTACAGAAACAATATGATACCTTGTTAACGCGTATAGGCTTTCCGTGAAGCTTAATCATGTTAAGAACCTTAATTGCCTGCACAAAACATGGAAAAAACATGTAACCATTGTGCCCAAAACAAAAATAGAGTCCTAAAAACTCCTCACAGAAAGGGAAAGAGAAACACTTTACATAGTCAGCATCTTCCTCACTGCGGAATTCAATGAATCCATAACCTTGATGAAGATTTGTCACCCTATCTTTCGGCACATAGACATTAACTGATGGAAAAATCAGAGGAGCTAATGTCAGAATCTTTGTTCGAATCAGATCAAGTATAAGCAATTTCAAGTAGCTAAAAAACCCATTTAGATATCGAAGAAACTAAACGAGAAGCAAGCGTTTAACTTACCAACGGGGCCAGCTTGAACGAACAATTCCCAGAGCAATTCTTCAGAAAGCTATAAATTTAAAGAGGGAAAATTGATCAGTTTCAACAAATTTATTCAGCTAAATCACAGAGAAGAGTAACTGAGAGAAACACACAGAATCCCTAATCAATCGGAAACCTAAAATTACATTTTCTTCAGGCGCAGAAGGGGAAGTGACACATACTCTACTCACAAACAACAGGTACTTTCATACAAAATCGAAGATAAAAAGCGAGAATAGAGACATATAAACATAAGTTTGTAAGAAGGAGATTAAAGAGAAGAACCTGGGGATCGAGACCTCCGACGTAAACAGTAGCGTCTTGGTTCCTCTCAGCTGAGTGTTGGCCGAGAAGATTAGCTCCGACTCCCGGAGCTATTCGAGTCGTCATCTACTTCTCCTTGTTTCTCCGGTCGCCGGACAAATCTGAGGTTTTTCAATTTTGTTTCAGTCTAAAACTCAGGACTTCTGGTCATTTCTAGCTCGGAGAAGAAAGAAAGAAATGAGGTTACGCCAAATAAATGGGTATCGCACAACTAATGGGCTTTTCCTCTAACGCCCATTAACCTTTTTTAATAGATTTTTTTGGCCCTTTTAATGAACTACACAATCTAACAATATCGAAATATCGATCGTGTTATACACCTATTAACGTATTTTTTTTCATGTTACTTCAAGTAATCTAGTTGTACGCCTTACAATATTTTTCAGTTTGATTCTTCAGTTATATAAAGAAAGAGAATTTTTTCTCCTTTCAAGAGTCTTTTGTTGCATAAACATAACTTGTAAGAACGTCTTTGTTCATCAAGCTCTTTTCTCACGCATATACTTAAAAGAGACACCATAAAGGGAGAAAATCGAGAGCAAATTTATATATACTTATGGGTTTGACTAACAAGATGAGCTTATAACATACTGCTAACTGGTGAGCAATTCATATGGACAGATAAAGCTTAGTAAACAGCTTTTGAATTTGGGGAGGTTTCTTAGAGTCTCTAAAACTGCAGTGAGAAAAATTCTTGTGGTTACTTGCTATGGAAGAAAGGGCTTACAAATGGTTGGTTAGGTCCCAAGACTGAAAAGATGATTATCAACCTTGGTGTGGTGGTGGTGGAGGCGGCATAGACATTTGATGATGGTGGTGCATAGGTGGTGGTGGTGGTGGTCCACCTTGCTGCATGTGTTGCGGCGTGGCTTGATGTGGTGGTGGTGGCATTGGTCCACCAAAACCTTGTTGGTGATGAATAAGCTGGGGAGGACGGAGTTCCATGGGTGGTGGAACCGCTAAGCCGTGTTGTTGTTGTGGCTGATTTTGATAGGCTTGTGGTGGTGGTGGACGTTGAGCTGGGATCGGCACAGGTCGTATGCCACCATTGGCAAACGGACGTTGTAGACCGTTAGCTTGAGGAGCATTAGGACGCGTAGCCGGGCCGCTTGCGTATAGTTTGTGGGGTCTGGAACTTGGATTTGTGGCAGCCAAAAGCCTCTCTGCATTCACCAAAAGTAATGTTTAAGTTGTGTAAATAACAGGGAGAAAGTTTCATAACAATTTGCTCCTTGAATCAACAGAATCCTTAAGTTAAAACAAGACAAGAGTATAAAGAGACTAACGTGCTGGAGTACCGTGGCGCTCTCCTTTTGTGTCTTTCTTGTATGCGTAAGAGACTGTTATTTGACGATTACAGAGATATTGTCCGGTCATTGCCTGCAATGGTCAATGAAATTAAGACCAGAGGAATATAGTTTCATTGGATTAGGTGATGATAGAAGTTATATCAATGTGAAATATGTTGGGACTCATTCTCGTAGCCAAGTTCATAGAAATGATAGTCATGAAAGAACAAAGGAAAAAATGGGTGAGGATTACCTCAATAGCAGCATCAGAAGCATCAAAGGAGTCATAGCTGATGAAACCGAAACCGAAACCTCGTGGATTCCCGGTTTCAGGATCTCGCATTATCTGAAATGAAAAGTTCAGAGAATCAGGTTCTAATGCATATACAAATGGCATATAACTCATATATTACAGATAAGATATCAAGATTCTACCTTAGGATTAGAAACAATCACACCAAACGCGCTAAAAGTATCATACAAGAGCTTTTCATCTACATCCTGTAAAAACAAAATCTGGTCAGCTCTTGTTCAAGTAACCGACTTTAGACTAATACAGCCAAGATACTTACAGGGTCAAGGTTTCCAATGAAAAGGTTAGCACCAACATCCAAGTTCTTCTTATCTTGAGTCGCCTAATACAAATATTAAACCAGGAAACAAAATGTTAGCAACTCCTAGGAGTGAAATTAAACACATTTCTAAGAGTTCTAGATCTCGAGAACAAAAGTATTAAAAACATTATGATACCTTCTTGACATTTATAAGATGTCCACCGAGCTTAATCATATTAAGAACCTTAACTGCCTGCCCAAAACATCAAATAATATGTTAACAATGTGCCAAAACAAGAAGTCTAAAACAACTTCAAAGAAGAGGGGAAGAGAAACACTTTACATAGTCAGCATCTTCTTCTCTTCGGAACTCAACGAATCCATAACTTTGTTGAAGATTTGTCACCCTATCTTTCGGGACATAGACGTTAACTGATGAAATCCAAAAAAATCAGAGGAGCTAATGTCAGAGATTTTGTTCGATTCAGATTCAAGATAAGTTTTGAGCTACCCTATGATTTTAGTATTGATATGAAGAAAGTTAGGGTTTAACTTACCAACGGGGCCGGCTTGTCTGAACAATTCCCAAAGCAACTCTTCAGAAATCTAAAAATTCAAAGAGGAAAATTGATCAATTCCACCAAAGATATTCAACTAAATCACAGAGAACAGAAACCTAGAAAACACACAAAAATCTCAAATCATTGAAGACCAGAGACGAATAGCGTGTAAGTTCGTGAGAAGGCCAGGAAAATAGAAGAAACCTGGGGATCGAGATTCCTGACGTAAACAGTAGCTTCTTGGTTCCTCTCAGTGGAGTGTTGGCCCAGAAGATTAGCTCCTACTCCCTGAGCTATTCGAGACGTCATCATCTTCTTCTTGTTTCCTTTCTCCGGTCACCGGAAAAGAAAGAAAAAAAGACCTCACGCCAATCAGAAATCGTAGAGGTTTTCAATTTTCGACGAAAGCGGGTTTATTAATATACTCGTCCCGTCATAAATGGGCTTTTGCTTATAGGCCCATTAATACCTTTTCAGAATAAGTACACTTACACCGTCTTTATTCTTTTCATAACATAGGAATTACGTCTTATTTCTTGAATCTTGAAGTATCATTTTGACCAAAAGTGCAAGAACATCTCAAAAGCAACATAAAAAGTAAGGGGAAGGAAAACAAAAAATTGTTATTTTTAGAGACGAATATCGGAAAAGAAAATTGAATTGATATGAAATAATTGTGTATAAGCAGAGACAAAATCTTGCTATTTCTATTACAATTCCACCAAGCTATGAATTGTTCTCATCTTCATGGAAATTCTAACCAATAGCTGATTTAAGCGAAATGATTTGCATCCTGGATCACAGTTTTAACAAGTCCTACTAATATTAGCTCAAACAAGGATGCGAAAACAAAAACCAGACCTTCTTAAGCAAAATTCTTGAGCATTATGCAGCACCACCCTCACTTTCTTGATCTAACACTTGTCTTGCATTGGCTTTTGAATACAATCCAAGATTCTCCTCTAGTTTCTTCCACTCGGTTACTAAACGCGGAGGGAACTTCTTCTTCACGGTCCTGGCCACTCCTCTTGCGTCTTCCATCCTATTATTCTTCACCAATCCTTCAGTCAAATGCTTGCAAGTTTTGAAATCAGGAATTTTGTGCATCAACGCACTCTTCTTGAACACCACTAAACCCTGATCGTACAACCCGTTTATACACAGATGAAATATCAGCGTCCTAAACGTCGCTGCGTTCGCACAACAATCATGTTCCTGTTCAAGCCCTTCATACACCTTCTTGGCCTCGCGCATCATCCCTTTGACACAGTAAGCAGTCATAAGATAGTTATAGCTAACTGTATCAGGTTTCAATCCCACACTGCTCATCTCTTCCATCAATTCTTTTACTCTCTCGGGGCTTTCCTTGGCAGCATTCATGAGTCTAACATTATAAACCGTGTTATCCAATTCGCAGCCTTTCTTCACCATCTCGTTCCACAAGCTTTCCGCTACATCGTTTTGGCCATTCTTATACAGTGATCCTAAAACGGTGGTGTAAGCAATGATGGTAACTTCAACACCTTTAGCCTCCATATCTCTCATAGTCTCCATAGCTTTTTCTGGCGAGCCAGTCTCACAATACGACTTAATCAACATACCGTAAGAGACTTTGTCAGGAGTAATATTACGATACCTCTGAGGAATTTCGTCGAACAGTTGGGGAACTCTTTCGAACAGATTGGAGTGAAGACAAGCAGCGAGTAAGGCGTTGATGGAGACGACGGATCTAGGAGTCCCGAGCTGTTCCATTTCCTCGAAAGTCTTCAGAGCATGATCAAACATGGAGGCTCGGCCATAAGATCTGATAAGTGTTGAGAGGAAAGGTTCCGTTTTGATCTTTGGGTCGTTTTTGTGGGACTCGATTAAGGCTTCGATGTCGGAGAAGCGTTGAGATTTCGCTAGGCGACGGACGGTGAGCTCCATGGCGTAGCGAGAGGAGATGGGAGACGAGGAGTTGTTGGAGACGGAGTTGTAAATCGCCAGGGCTTTGTCGGGGTCGTGTACTTTACGGAGTTTGGACTTTGCTTTGGAGACGGTGATTGCTGCGCCGGGAGAAGACGCGGTGGTTGGAGTATCTGCAGCAGCGGCGGTGGAAAACCGGCGAAGGAAGCGGAGATAGAGACGAGATGACGTCATCGCAAGCGTCGCCACCGGAGTATAGTGTTAATGGCTAAATGAAATGCCTTTAGGGTTTAAGGCTGACAAAGAAATGGGTTTTACAAGTGTTTAGCTAAATGAAAAGACTTTATCATGATTTAAATTCAACGGCAATGATAAATTCGAATATATATATATTCTTGAAAGAAAATATAAGTTGACAAGACTTGAATTTGATAAATGATTACATTATTCGTCTACTCAATTATACCTAAATTTCTTGGATAACCGATTATTTTCACCCTAATGAATTTGAAAAGAAATGTGAAAGCAAAGGGACAAGCAAGAGAGAAAAAGAAAAGGCCTTGTTTAGTGAAAAACTGTTACAAGCATTGTATTTTGGATCCTTCCTTGTCTTTTGATACGACAAAAACAAGATACAAATGGCTTTAAAGTAAACCAGACAAAGAAGAGACAACAAGATTAAGAAGAAATTACTTGTAGAATTAAAAAACTCTCTTAAATAGAATAATCTCCTTGTTCAAACTTATCTTCAGGGTAAAACACAGCCATCACTTGGTTCCCTCCAAATTTCCTACCGTTCATCCCGTTTCTTGCCCTGCTCGAGCTCTCTGTCTCCGCGTATTCAAGAAACACCTGCCCAATCGCCTCCAAAGTTTTAGCCAGAGAGATATTTCACTTGTATAGAGCAGAAAACGTTAGGCCAATAAATGGTTTTGAACAAACCTTGCCAACGCCCTGAATGGGCTCACCGTTGGGGCTAGGGCGAGGGATCACGACTTGAGTCAACGCACCTGCAATTTAAGAGCAAACATTTTCGAATCCAATAGAAGAGACAAAAAAACAAAAGAAGAAACAACTTCAAGTTGTTTTTTTCTAAGAAGGATGGTGCTTGGATGATATATAGATAAGGAAGTTATGCAGTCTCCTGTTATGGGCCTGATTCTTTATAGCAGAATGTGGGACAACAAAAGGCTGTAAAACAGACATATACAAACCAACAAAAAACAGAGACACAAATCAATATTCTTCCAATCTCATTCTCAAACATGCATGGAAGAACTAAGGTATGATAATCAAATACCAAAGGTGAACTTAGCTTTAGCAGTGGAAAGTTCTTACCAAACTTTCCGCCTTCTTCTCTCATGTCTACAACAATGTCTTCGTACTCCTCATCGTTTCTAAGCTCTTCCTCTGTAACTACTTGTGTCAGGCACACTACTTTGGTGGCTGCTGTTCCCTGTTGTAGCATAATCCTCTGCGAAAGAGAGAAAAAGAAACCCAAGTACTTTCAATTGATAGTCCAGAAAGAAACAAAGACGTTAACTCTTCAATGCATAGATAGAACTTAGAAGAACCTGGAAAGCAACTTGCTGCTGTGCATGCAACAATACACTCTCCTGTTCAGATTTCGGTTGAGTTGTTCCTTGGTTAGCTCGCCTCACTGTAAGAGTTTTATCTCCCATTGTAATTCCGTTGAGAGCAGCACAAGCAATGTCTGTGACAGACGGATCTTGATATGCGCAGAATGCGTATCCTTTTGAGTTTCCGGTTTCTCTGTCTTTTACAAGATCAAAACCCTTCAGGGCTCCCAAGGACTCCAGCAATTCCTTGATTTGTGCCTCAGGGATATAATAGGGAAGCCCACCAACAAAAATACGGTCTGGTCCCTCAAGTGCACCAGAAGCCCCTGGAGTCAGACCAACAGCAGCCAAATTTAAATTGGGAATTGGCTGGCTTGGACCAAGGGTTGCAGCTAGAGATGGGTTATAGTCACTAGGTCTCCTCACCTTCACTGGAGCTCCCTGGGGAAGATGAAAAGTATGGTTTAAGCTTAATTACTTTTCGTCTTTATTGGTATCATGATAAACCATAAGACCTACCTCAAATATAATCCCATCTAAAGACATTGCATTACTCGCCTCTTGAACAGATCGCATCTCCACAAATGCAAACTTCTTCTCGTAGTTTATGTACACATTGACAACAGCATCACCTGCGAAAAGTTAAAAAAACAATTATAAGCGTTTTCAAAAGAAAACTCTACCAATGGCAACACAAGAATGTAATAATACCTGGACCAGCAGTGTTTCCGCCAACAGCAGCCATAACCTGACTGAAAAATGTTGCAACAGACTGCAATACAACAATTCAAACGTGAGTATAAAAAGCAGGATCAAATCACAGTGGACTACAATATGTAGTGGACATTAAACCTGTTCATTTGCTGAGGGAGAAAGACCACCAACATAGACTCTCCGAGCATGTCTAGTAGCCTGAAGACATATTAAACGAATGCAATGTTAGGACCGACAAAACTCTTAGTATCTTCCATATGTCCACGAGAAATATAGCCAACCTGCTGTGTCATTGCCTGAATTGGCATCATAGGGAGTCCACTGAATGTCTGCATGACAAAAGAAGAAGGCGAAATCAGTTGGAAAAATATGTATCAACTTGGCAGGGACAAGGGCACATACCTGTCCAGTTGGTAAGGGATACATGTTCGGAAACATTCCAGCTCCGGGAAGAGTTAGGTTTGGAGCGGGAACTTGACCTACAAAAGGTAAACAAGGTAACCACCTGCTTATTACTACTACTTGAATATTACTACTACTTGAATATGAGAAGATCTATTTCCCTAGAATATAACCGGTGATAATATAGGTTTCAAGGTTATAGGTGAAAACAACACTTGCGAAAACTACTACGTCCATAGAATATGAGTTCTACATTATTCTACAATACTTAAAGTGAAGATATAGAGATGACGTGAGGTAGAGATACCTGTAACAGCAGAACCAGCATCTAACATCCCAGAAGCTGGGGGTGCCATGTCGAATCCACTGACCCGCTTACTGCAATTCACAGAAGAGAAGACACAAAGAAATGATAAAACTCTTTCTTAGTCATAGTTGGCTTCTATTAGATACGTCACAGTAAATCATGGAATTTTAAGCAGTAAGAGCAACATGATGTCAAAAGATAATTTCTTAGACAACAATGTCCAGTGAGAAAAATAAGCTACCTCTTGGATGGAGATCGTGATCTACGCTCAGATCTACCCTTTGAACGAGAACGAGACCGGTGACGGCGTCTATCTCCTCTATTCTTGTCATAATCTCTACGCCTAAAAGGACACACAAAGTCAAATCTAAAATACAATAGTCGAATGAGTTTCATGCAAAATGTGAAGAGAAATCGTTCTTGAGCAATAACCTCTCAAAGTCACGATCACGGCTTCGACGATGGTCATCATCATCTCCCCTGACACGTTCTCTTCTCTCACCTCGTTCCCCACTGCGATCTCTGTGACGACTTCTGTGATGTCTCTCTCGATCCCTTTCTTTCTCCATACCTTTATCCCTGCTTCTATCCTCCTCCCTGTCACGTTCCTTGCTCCTCTCTCCCTCTCTGTCTCTCCTCCGCTCGTGGTCCCTATCTCTCTCTTTATCTCTCCCTTTCACTCTATCACTTTCTTTACTTCTAGAAGAATCCCTCTCATTGTCAAGCATTTCCATCTACAGAGCAAAACAACTCGTCATTGCAGAAAGGAACCTCTAGTTACTTTCTCGAAGAGCAATGCAACTTAAAACCCCTTCACAACCAAAGAACAACAAAAAAACACTAAGCTAAACCCGCAAGGTCTCTACAAAAATCAAACTATGGCATCAAAACATCTAAACTACCTCTAGTGAACATCAAAACTATTTGCTCTAAGCATTCAATCTATTGCCTAAAACTAGGATATATGTTTCATGAGTCTTTTGATGAGATTTGGGGCTATTTGTTGGGAGAAACAGTTTACTGGTTTCTCTATAACAAAACATAGAGCTGCATCTTTTGTTCTTGTTCTTGCTGATTCGGATAATGATCTTGAACTTTGATTATCAAAATCTCACATATTCCATTCAAAAGAGAGAAGTTCCTCACACAAATCTCCGAAAATGAAATCTAAATTACGCACAGAAACACAATAGTTCCAGAAATCGAAAGCCATATGTACCTGGGATTTCAAGTTTCGGTGATCGTCGATCTCGCCGCCGCGTCCACCACCATCTCCGGAGTGAAATCCATCATCGGCGGCGCCGTTATCTTCGTTGTCAGACATCTCTCGCGGCGTCTAAACAATTTCAAAATTCCACGAATCGCTGTTGAGGTTCCTGAGAAAAGGGGGTGTGATATAAGAAATAAATTTAGGGCACAAGCGAGAGATAGACTAGACCTTGAGGATATTAGTGTAAAGCTTCAGATTTATCAAAGCACTTATCCTTTTTCATTAATTTTTTAGACCAGAAAATACACTTAACCAATCTTTGTTGGTCTTTATGAAAACTGAAAACTGTTTGCGAATTTTATATTTGGCAGATAAGAAAACTGAAAAAACTTGTGACCGATATGAAATCATCAAATATTACGAAATATAGTTTGCGAGAGAAACATAACGATAAAATCATGAAAGTTTTACACAAACTAAAAACTTAGGTGGAATAGCATTCTGCAGAGAACAATTTGAAAAATAAATTTTTTACTTATGTGCAAAGACACTACACACTCTCAGTTTCCCAACTTTATGACATAAAACCTGTATTATAACAACACAAACTTTTTTGGTCTGACACAATTTATCTTTTTGTTTCATTGATTTCTTTTTAAAAATAATAATTTATGTATTGTTATCATATTCAGGATTTTAAAATTTGAAATCCTGTTCTTCATTTCCAAATCTTCTTTTTATATCATCTCTTTATATCCTCCTTCTTCCGTCAAAGATTCAAAAGAGGCGTTTTTCACTTTTTTATTTTTATTTCAAATCATTTCTCCCACCTCCAAAAAATTCTCTTCTTTCTGTTTCTACGGTGACTACTCGGTCGTCTTTCTTCTTGCTCCTCTCTTTCTCTACGGCGAGGTTCTACCATCTCTCATTATCGCCGGTTCATCAGCTTCAAACCATGGTGAAAAATCTGTAACACAGCCGATTCTTTCTTTAGTGGTGAGGTATGAAACGTATATCTTCGATACCTGGTTCTGTTCTGCTGATTTTTACCTTCTACTATTTTTGTAAATTGTTCTCTGTATTTCTTCAGTACAGTGGCTATTTTCGCTGTTATCCACATCTGGGTTTCTTGATTTTATAAATCTAGGATTTTTATAGATCTAGGATTTTATAGATCTAGGATTTTTATATTTTTCTTTCGGTAGTTAACTATATACATCGTCGCTAGTAATCGTCTACTCGCAACGTCTATAATCGATTCAATATAAAGCTACATATTCAGTTAGTCTACATAACTACTAGACAGGAATAGTCATCTACTCATATATGTGCGTCTGTTATTTACGTCACATTGGTAGTCAGTTTACAGTAGCTAACTATTTGACTTTTGTTCGTTTCAAGGGATATATGTACTTTTCGACAATCCGAACCCACACTGTTTGCAAATAATGTGCTTCCCCAGATTAGTGATGCAAACTGTCATATCCGTCCATTTTATGTTAACATTGCTAATCAACTACAATAGCGAAACCAAGAAGCAAATCCTATGTTATTTACTGTCTACTAATAGTTGTCTACTTTCTATTTATTTATCAGAATGAACAACCTTCTACTAATAGTTGACTACTTTATATTTATTTATCAGAATGGACAACCTTCCAATAACAAAAGACACATCCACTTCTGAACATCTCAACGTCTCGGCAAATAATGTGCTTCTCCAGATTCGGGATCTAGTGCTTGATGTCTTTGTAAGGCTAGGAAAAGAATCTGCGGTCGATCCTGATTCTTTTGGTTGTTATCTGGAAAAAGCATGTTAAACCAGTTCTTTCAAATTTAGTTGTTGTCTCTTATTTTAGTAGACTACCTATGGGTAGATGTCTATGTTTTCCATTATAATTATGAATCTTTTACATGTTTTGCAGTTAACTACTATTATGAACATTCGTTTTTGACTTTGTAGCCAACTATTTATCTATGGATTATGTTTCAATTTAATTTTCAATTGTAGTCGGCATTTTGTGTAACTGACTACTTGTAATTACTATTCAGATATACCATTACTCAGAAAATCAGAAATACCCCCTATTCTACTGTTCACACTAGCCTCTTTCAGAAACAGTAACATAACGGTTTCTCCTTTGATCAAGTTCGTATTCATATAATTGAAATCCAATATGTCGTAATCTTATATTTTTATTCATGTCATATTACTTTACATGTTACCGAGTATATTGCAGACCTCCCAGAACCGAATTGTGAGTCTGGAAAGGTCAAGGTTCATAACCATCTACTAGTAGACATCTACTATATAATCAATTTATTTTATGGGTGATGTGTTAATGTTCAAGCAACCGAGGAGATTTCAGACCTCCCAAATCTGAATGTCGAGCTCGCTAAAAATCAAGTTCGTATTCACCTATTAGTAGCAGTCTATTTGATAATTGATTATTTTCACTTATCTTGTGTTACTGTTTAGCCCACCTTCGAAAATGCAGATATCCTAGAATTGATATAATTGATATCGATTATTAATAGTCGTTTATCTAATTGATATATGTATTCGACTATGTCTCTTATTCTTTTGATCGTTCAGGTTACAGATGTGAATGTGGCCTCCCTGATCCCAATTATGAAGTAGCTAAAGAACAGGTATGTAATCGACCTTTAATAATCGTTTATTTATTTAAGACATGTAATCGAATGTCTATTATTGTAGTACACTACTTTATAATCGATTATTTTTACTTATCTTGTGTTACTGTTTAGCTCACCCTCGAAAATACAGACATCTCAGACTTGAATTCTGAGATTCATAAGGTTTATATTTAGCTATTAATAGTTGTCTATGTAGTTGATATATGTACTCGACTATGTTTTCTATTTTATAGTTTATATCCATCTATTAATAGTTGTCTTTCTAATTGATATATGTATTCGACTATGTGTTCCATTTCTTTTGATCATTCAGGTAACCGATGTGAATGTTGGCCTCTCTGATGCCAATTATGAAGTCGCTTAAGAACAGATATGTAATCGATTTTCTTATAGTCGTCTATTTATGTAAGACCTGTAATCCAGAATTTCTTATTGTAATACAGTATGTTTACATATTTTACATATATATATTACAATACTCAGTTCAGTATGTAGTTAACTATATTTTAACCATAATTGACTACTGTAAGGGATATTGAACCCAGTAATAGACGATCCCCCAGCTTTTTCTCATTCATAGATAATCCTCCAGCTTTTTTCCTTAGTCTTTTTTCGCTTGTACTATATTTTAATCATAGTTATATACACTCCAATCAATGCTTAAAAGTAGTCACTGCTATCGTTCTAAAGTTGATGGTAGCGTCTTCAACTTTACAAAAAGTAGATGTCCTTTTCATGTCAGGAAAAAGCATTGTTTTGGATAAGGAAGCAAGAGTTTTTTTGTATTTTCCCCAGCTTCTGGACGGTTGACTATTGCTATTTACCTAATTGACTGTTCTTGTATGGTATTCACCTAATTGTCAGTGTAAAAAGTATTATTTATGCAAATCCCCAAACTTAATTAGCATCGACCGTATGATGGTGACTTTCTTTACTACTACTATCCAGTATCCAATCTAGCATCGACTTCGTCATACATAATCGTCTTATTTCTCGTATCCTTTATAACATTTCTCTGTTATTCCTGTTTTGTGATCTGCTTTAGAAGACAACTAGATTTTAACCACGTGCGTCCGCACGAGAATGTTTTATTTTATTTATAATATAAGTTGCATTTATCTTTTTGTTTAGATATAATTTATTTTTGTTATTTATTTTTTTAAATCAAAAAATTGTTATCACATTTTAATTTTAAACAGTAAAATTTGTATATTAGTAGAATAAGAGTATACGTTAATTAATATACATTGATTTAATGTTAATTATAAACTTTGTTATTATATGAATTTAAATTTATACATAAACAATCTATATATCTATGAATTTGCTAATCCATCCGTTTAGTTGTCTTAAATCATTTTTAATATCTTACATGTTTTGACAAACTAACCCGTATAAGACTATAATTATAATTGTATAACCCTATAAATATTTACTAATATGAAATATTTGGACCAATTGATTATGAAAAAATATAATAAGATATTTATTTACTATTTGTGCTATTAAAAAAATGTATATATATATATACGGACTAACCTGTTAGTTTAATTGTCTCCAATCATCTTAATATCTTACATGTTTTAATAAATTAACTCATGGACCTTAAATATATATATATATATATATAACTCTAATCAGTTCGATTATATTATTGTATAATATAAATATTTATTAATCTCAAATATTTGATATTTTAGACCGATTGTTTATGATAAAATACGATAAAATATTTATTTACTATACATTTTTATAAATATTATTTAAATTTAAAATTTTAAATTAAATTTTTCCTGTATTAAGAAATTCTAAAGTATTAAAATTATTATCTAAATTTTCGTAATAAAATTTAATTATAATTTTTTTGAATTTTTTGAATTGAAATTAAATTAAATACAAATTTTTGTAACTAAATTTAATTAAATTTCTAATAATTTGAAATTTAAATTAAAGATGACCTAGATTTTAGAAAATCTTAAAATATATAAATTAATAACTAATTTTTGGAAATTAAATATAAAAATAAAAGAAAATATTATAAAAAAAAACTTTGGGAGTGTTTGGATGCAAGCACTAAATGTGCTTCTGTTTTAATAGAATAGACTAGATTCTAACTCCGTGCGTCCACATAAATTTTTTTTATGTTTTTTTCCTAATATAATTTGTATTTATGTTTTTAGATATAAGTTGTTTTTATTATTTATTTATTTTCTTAAGAATATTTATTTTTCAATTTTTAAAATATGAAAAAATAATAAGAATGAGATGTGTTAAGTTTTTCATCATCTCGAGCTATTTTTTTGCAGGATATTTTGTTATCATGTTTTAACTTTAAATAGTATAAATTTGAGTAGAATTAGAATATGAGTTAATTAAATATATTTGGATCTAATGTTAATTATAAACTTTGTTATTATGTAATTTTAATTATGTAAATTTAATTATGTGGTTTTAATTATGTGAATTTACATATAAATAATCTATAAATCTATGAATTAGCTAATCTATCCGTTTAATTGCCTTAAATCATTTTTATAAATACATAACCCTAATCTGCTTTAATTAAATCATTTTCAATGTTAGTAAATATTTTTATATTATAAATAGAGCACGTTAGGGTTATGCATTTATAATTACATTCTTATACAAGTTAGTTTTTAAAAACACGTAAGATATTAAAAAATAATTTAAGATAACTAAAGGGATAGATTAGCCAATTCATAGATATATAGATTATTTATATGTAAATTCACATAATTAAAATCAAATAATTAAATTTACATAATAACAAAGTTTATAATTAACATTAGATCCAAATATACTTAATTAATTCATATTCTAATTCTATTAATATACAAATCTATAATATTTAAAGTTACAACACGATAACAAAAAAATAGCTCGACACCAGGATGATGAAAAACTTAACATATCTAATTTTTATTATTTTTTCATATTTGAAAAATTGAAAAAGAAATATTCTTGATTTAAGAAAATAAATAAATAACAAAAATAACTTATATCTAAACAAAAAAATAAATACAAATTATATTAGGAAAAAAAAAATAAAAAATTTCCGTGCGGACGCACAGGTTAGAATCTAGTTTTAAATTAAATTTAACTATATTGAAGAATATAATTAAAATTATTACCTAAATTTTTTTAATAAAATTTAATTATAATTTTCTTAAAATTCTTTTTTTGAATTTTAAATTAAATTAAATCTAAATTTTCGTAATTATATATATGTTATTAAAAATCTTGAATAATTTGAAATTTTATTTAAATATGACCATATTTAAAAAAATTTTAAAATATCTAAATTAATAACTCATTTTCAGAATTGAATATCAATATAAAATAAAACTTTTAAATTAATTATCACCTATATTTAAGGAGAATCTAAAAATATCTAAATTAATACTTAATTTTTAGAATTAAATATTAATATAAAATAAAATAATTTAAAAAAAATTTGGGAGTGTTTGGAAGCAAGCAGTAAAAGTGCTTCTGTTTTAATCTAATAGACTAGATTCTAACCCCGTGCGTTCGCACGAGAATTTTTCATTTTTATTTCTAATATAGAATTTATTTTTGTTATTTATTTTTTTAATTCAAGAATTTTGTTATCATGTTTTAACTTTGAATAGTATAGATTTATATATTAGTAGAATAAGAATATGAGTTAATTAAATATATATTGATCTATACTGTTAATTATGAACTTTATTATTATTACGTAAATTTATAATTACACGTAAACAATCTATACATTTATGAATTAGTTAACCCGTCCATTTAGTTATCTCAAATCATTTTTTAATACCTTAGATGTTTTGATAAACTAACCCATATAAAATTGGGATTATAAATGTATAATTTTAACTTGTTCTATCATATTATTGTAAAATATAAATATTTATTAACATCAAATATTTGATGCTTTAGACGGATTGATTATGATAAACAATACAATAAAATATCTGTTTACTATTTGTGCTGTTATGAAAATATAATCTAAATTCGAAATTTTAAATTAACTCTCACCTGTATTTAAGGAATTTTAAAGCAACTAAAATATCCTCTAATTTTGTAATAAAATTTATGAATACTTGTTTAGAATTTTAAATTACACTGAATCTAAATTTGCGTAATTAAATTTAAGTAATAAAAATTTCGAATATTTTAAAATATTAGTTAAATATAACCTATATTTAAGAAAATCTAACAATATTTAAATTAGTAACCAATTTTTAAAATTAATTATAATATAAAATAATATAATATAAAAAAAATTAAGTGTGTTTGGAAACAGGCACTAAAAGTGCTTCTGTTTTGTTTTAATATAATAGATTTAATATAATAGATGGCTTAGTAAAAATTGTATTAGTATGTAATCTTTCACATTTTTGGTAATAATATTTAACATTGAAACACTTAACTTAGCATAAACAATTTGTTATGTCGGAAAAGAAAATTCTGTGTTTAACAAACAAAATGTCCCTATGTGTTTAACAAACAAAATGTTAGTTGAATATACTCGAAGCTCTTTTTTCACTGTAACTCCTTGTTGGGCTAATAGCTTAATACAAAGATTGGATCATTTTTACAGCCAAGTTAAATATTTATTATAGTATAAACCTTTATTTTAGATTATCTCTCAGCCTCGATTTACAAAAATATAAACAAAGAAAACAACCACGAGAATTTCAGCCTATACCAATGATCAGTGTCGCAGGATAGCGTTTAAGACTCATCCGCCACATTTTATCCGTCCGTGGTCGGAGGTTGTGGCTGCGGCGGCCTCCGCTTCTCTTCTTCTTCTCGTCTTCTTCGTTCCTCCTCTGCTCTTTTAGAAGCTTCTTCTTCTCTCTTTCTCTCTTCTCTCTTCATCGCTTCCTCTTCTTGGCGTCTCTTCTTCTCCGCCTCTTCTCTCTTCTTCCTCTGCCTCTCTTCCTCTTGTCTCTTAGCCATCTCTTCTTCCTTTTCCCTTTCTTCTTCTCTCTTCCTTGCCGCTTCTTCTTCTTTCTCACGCCTTATCCTTTCTTCCTCTTGTCTCCGAGCTTCCTCTTCCTCTCTCTCCCTTTCTTCTTCTCTCTTTCTCGCTTCTTCTTCTTCTTTCCTTCTTGCCTTTTCTTGTTCTTTCTCACGCCTTACCCTCTCTTCCTCTTGTCTCTGAGCTTCCTCTTCCTCTCTCTCCCTTTCTTCTTCTCTCTTCCTTGCCGCTTCTTCTTCTTTCTCACGCCTTACCCTCTCTTCCTCTTGTCTCTGAGCTTCCTCTTCCTCTCTCTCCCTTTCTTCTTCTCTCTTTCTTAATTCTTCTTCTTCTTTCTCACGCCTCTTCCTCTCTTCCTCTTGTCTCTGAGCTTCCTCTTCCTCTCTCTCCCTTTCTTGTTCTCTCCTTCTTGCTTCTTCTTCTTCTTTCTCACGCCTCTTCCTCTCTTCTTCTTGTCTCTTAGCTTCCTCTTCCTCTCTCTCCCTTTCTTCTTCTCTCTTTCTTGCTTCTTCTTCTTCTTTCTTTCTTGCTTCTTCTTCTTCTTCTTTCTCACGCCTTACCCTCTCTTCCTCTTGTCTCTTAGCCTCCTCTTCTTCTCTCTTTCTCGCCTCTTCTTCTTCTTTCTCACGTCTTCTCCTCTCTTCTTCTCGTTTCTTAGCCGCCTCCTCTTCTCTCTTTCTTGCCTCCTCTTCTTCTTTCCTTCTTCGCTCAGCTTCTTCTTCCTCGCGTCTCCTCCTCTCTTCTTCTCTTTGCTTGGCTGCCTCTTCCTCCCTTTTCCTTTCTTCTTCTTGCCTTCTTCGCTCAGTTTCTTCCTCCTCACGTCTCTTCCTCTCTTCAATCTCTCTCATAAGCCTAGAAAGCTCTACCTCGGCACAGGACACACACTCCAACATCAAAGCTTCTCTTTGAGCTCCCAACAATCTCTCGATAGTCTCATTTCTCACGTTGAAGGATGCAGCAAGTACCTCCCGGTCAAATACCTTCAGAACCGAGCTCTGCCCTACTAGGAACTGAGGGTGGTTTGTCTTCGCCGACGTGCTAAATCCCATAAATACAAATGAGCTGTTTTCAAAAGACATTTGAGCCATAGGATAAAACTTCGGCACAACAAAAACATCCCCCTCCTCAACCATGAACCTCACACTCTCGCTCTTTCTCTTGCTTTCGCTTTGCGGCAACGAGTGGTTAACCACCCGAATCATCCCTTTCCCATGTAACACAATCGATATCTCACAAGCACTAGGGTTCCAATGCGGTCCCATCAATGATCCCTACAAATTAGATACATCATTTTCATGTCAACATCAAAACATGATAAGAAATCAAAAACCAATGCAACGAGGTATTAAATTATTTTTTAAGTGGCTCAACCTCCGTTAGATTAACCATGAAAACTCCAACACTCGAACCCTTCAAATCATCTGTATCCTTCTCGTCAACCACTATGCTCTGGCCATTGACGTTCTTAAAGTCCGGGTCGGCCTCAAAAACATTGTAGGCACTTGATTTCTTCTTCTTACTATTATCAACCGGTTTCATAGCCAAATGATCAGTCACGTCTTCAACTCTTACAAAGAGTCTACCAAGCCGTGACTGCCACGTCTCCTCCTCTGGCCCTTTTGTTCTGTTTCTAGGCTGAGCATTTGTGATCAACGGAGGCTTCACCTCATCTCTTACCCTCCCCAAAATCTCCTCGGGAACCTTCCATAGTTAAAAAAAAAACAAGCACGATATGTAATCAATGAAAAAACCCCAAAAGGGCAAAATGTAGAATCATGTCTCGCCAGTAGAAACACACACACAACACACATACCGCAAAAGCTGACCGGAGGGTCTTCTCGTCAAATCCCAATAACAAGTCTCTGATATTCGAGTACGCTCCTATACATGGATCGTGTAAACACTTCCCCACATCGAAGATTGCGTAAACCCTAAGTTTCTCTGGAAACTCGCTTCTCTCCAAGTTGCTATGGACGTAGAAGACTATGCCGGAACGTAGCCTAAAAATATCTCCTCGTCTTAATTCTAACGTCCTCTCTTTGTCATCGTCGACCCAATTCAAAATTCCAATCCCTAACACAATCCCCAAATCACAATCACAACATTACTTAAAAAATAAACCCTAATTAACCATGCTCAGAAAAATGTTACTTTCAATTTTAGATGGAAAATATTCAAGGTATAAATAAAAACATTTACTAAGTAGGTATTACATAGTCTATGATTAAAAGAATAAAATGTGATTTGAGTTTGGGAATGGGTACGTTACGTACCAGTGTGGACAAAGAAAACCATGTCGGAATGGAGAAGAAGAGGAAGCAAGAATGCGTTTGGCTCCAATGTAATAAACTGAATATTGTATCCATCGCCGATCTGGACGGCTGATATCTCTCCGAACTCCGTTTCAACGATTTGCGTCCGTTGATTTTTCTTGATCAGAAGTGGCGACTGGAAGCTCGGGACGTCGTCGTTTTGATCCGAAAACGAGCTCGTGCAGATGAATAAGGTAACGAGACAGAGTGGAAGAATCGTAAATTTCGACATTGTTTGATAGACTCAAAGAGACTTTTGGAGTTGCGACATACATATATCTCTTCACAGGAAATGTAATTGGCGGTAAATAACATAAGGAATCCATGGAGAGTGGGGCCAGGTTTTGGACACGCGTCGTATATAGTGAACACGTGTATAGTTACATTGACACGTGTATCTGATCATTTTGAATAAGAATTGTATAACAATCGTTGACCCTCGATGGAAAAAATGTCTCATTAAGGTGAAAATCGGCCAATTGATTAGTAACTCCGTAACTTCGTAAAGAATGTTCAAAATCGTTAAAGATAATTTCATATATCTTTTATTCAAACTTTGAGTTAACTAAAATGGAGGGTAAAATCAACATATGTATTTGTAAATATTTCAAACGAAATGAAATCAATTTTTCTTTCTGTAAACAGCAAGTATGAGAACTATTTGTTTACTCTTATTCTTTATACAAACACAAATCAAACCAAAATACTACTAAAATTTAAAAGTCATACATAGTCCAAAAAATTTCTCAAACTTCTGTTTGAAACAAACGACAAGGGTCTCTAACCAAAAGCATCATATTCATGCTAATTTCCGATAGAAAAAAAAAAAAACTCTCAAGACAATGCAACACTTCTCTGGTCAATATATACGATCATAAATTTAGCATCGCCTGATCTTTCTCGACGAAATCCAACGCCTGATCTTTTGAAATAACATTCACACTACTCACACTGTTGTTATAAAATACTCCATATATCTTATCCGCAACTTTCACAAGCTCCGGACGAAAAGTTGTTGTAATGAATTGTGTGCTTTCAGCTAAACCATGAATCCTGTCTATAATTAATAAATATAGTTTGGTTAAGAAAATTGTAACTTTTTCAAGTTCTGTGCATGCATCATGCATGTGTGGGACATTTTCAATAAAATTAAAAAAGATAGATAGATCAAAGAAAAGGATACTTACTGCTGATAGATGTTCGATACTGAGGATCAAGTGCTGCATCGATCTCATCAAATAGATAGAATGGTGCAGGATCGCATCGCTGGATCGCAAAGATTAAAGCAATTGCAACAACGGTCTTTTGGCCTCCTGACAATTGTTTCATTGATTGTGTCTCCCCTTGACCATTAAACGACACCTACGCAAAAACAAATTGGTAAAATGTGATCAGTACATGAACACTAAACACAAGGGATTATAATAGATGTTACCTTCATTTTTACACCAATATATTTCTCATCTTTTCCTTCTGTATCAGCTTCACGACATCCATAAATTTCATCTTCATCATCATGATCACGGTCCTGAATATGCACCCAAAATGTTTCACGTACAAGGATCACATATCAAACAACAATGAAATATACTAAGTAAGATGGTTCCGTGCGCGAGGGGTTAACTAGCTGAGCATAGTACTTAGTATATAAGAACACTAAATGTATCACAAGGGAAAAAGAAACATGCCTTATTCTTGGGGATGGTGACAAGGTCACCAATTCCACCTGGCACAAGCTCAGAGAATACTTTCCTGAATTCAAGTGCAACACCTTTGAAAGTACGTTCTATAGATTCGTCTTTCCGCTGATCAAGAACTGATATCAGTTCTTTGATTTTCTGCAGAAATTTCGAAATGTGTCGTTTACTTAATAGTTAGAACACAGAATTTGTTAAAGAGTATGATAATGAAACCTCCCATTATTTATACCTCATCCCCTGCATCAAGCTCTGCTTGCTTCTCCTTAAGTTCTTCTCGTTGTTCCGTGAAATTTACATACTGATCAAGCGCTTTCTTGTTTACATGGCTGAATTGTTGCAGCTCTTCACTGCACCGGTGTAGCATCTTCTGCAACTCCTTGATGTTTTTTCTTTTATACCTATAATGATAATATTACCATTAGCTTATACATATGATAAAAAAATTTCCCCCAATGAAGACTAGCTGAAGAACTATTGGACAATTATTCGCAAACATACGTGTCAAAAGCTTCAAGTGACAATGGGCCTGATTGCCTAATTTTCTTCGTGTACTCTTCTTGCTTAGCAAGGAGTGTGTTGCGTTGAATGAATAGTTCCTCCAAAATTTTTGCTTTATCTTGTCGTTTCCCCTCATGGTCATCTTCCAATGTCTGAGAAGAAGAAAATTTTCTCAAAGATATCTTAGAGAGAAAACGATATTACTCTTAGCTTACCGATTATATATATACTAGGTACCTTTAACTTTGCTTTCTTATCTTTGACTTTCTTGACTTGCATTCTCTTCTCAGAAATGCTGTGACAGAGACCTATAAAGCCATGTAAATGGCACTAGTGAGTGAATATCAAGCAATGTCAACCCAAAAGTAGATTACAATGTTTTGGACTCACTTTCGAGCTCGTTTGTGGCCTCGTCAACTAACAAAGTTGCATCATTGAGTTCTTGTGTTTTTAAGCCAGCTAAACTAAGCAACGTATCATCCTCCATGGAAGCTATAGTAGCTTGTAACTCATTTTTTCTCCTCTTTAAGTTGGTAGCCAAATTAGCCTCCAACTCTGCTTTTCTTGTCTCCCTCTGTTTGTAATGAAACAAAAAGCAAATAATAAATCAACTCAAAGAAGAAAACAAACACTTTCAAGCAATTTTTCTCTTTCATTTCCAACCTCAATGCGATCCGTCTTGTATGCAATAAGTTTTACCTGAAGATCCTTAATTTTGGGGTTTAATCGTGACAATTGCTCCCTTTCTTCTGGGGTTACGTGATCCACAAGTTCCTTACCCATTTCAGCTTTCTTCATGGCCACGCTAGATCTTAGCTGATCAACTTGTGTTTTAATATCACCTAGTGATTTCTCCTGCAAACAGGTGAAGAAATTAAGTATGTGGAAAAACATATTTCAACCCTTAATGGACGCTCGAAAAGAATGAGGAAAAACCTTATTTTCAAGGGCTTTATGTATATCCTGTTTCCGCTTATTCGCATTAGCTATTTCTTGCTTCAGTTTCTCCACCTGTGAATTACGGTGAGTCCAGTCTGCTTCAAGCCTCTGCAGCTCAGTAACAAGCTGTGTGATATTCTGATCTATCAGTGAGACAAGTTAAGTAAAACTCTTTGAATGGACAAGAAAAACGAAAATGCGATTAAAAACCAACAAAAAAACTAAACCAAGAAAGTCAGTTATGGAAAAGGATATCTTGGGGCTGCCTTTTAACATCCTCCAATACCTTCTCTTTTGTATTTATAGTGTTTTGATTTTTTACTATGATATTATTGCATCTCAACTTCGACTGACTTTTGTCATAATACCCACCGGTCATGACACCTTTTCCACTCACCAAATCACCTGCCATGGCACACCAGAGCCTTAAGGTACCAACCAAATACTCTTTAACAACTCTTGTTGGAAAATAAAGTAAAAGAAACAAAGAAAAAAGCATTTTCAGTTCCAACCTTCCAAAGTTATGCAATCTAATAAGCCATTACTCTTAGCAACTCTTGTTGCCACATTCAGATCATCACATAATACTGTTGTACCAAAAACCTATACAGATCAAGGCACATTTTGAAATACAATGAAATGACATTTCTGCATCGGAAGAGAAAGTGGTAGATCAGAGAAAGAAAGACGCACCTGACCAAATGCTGATGCAAATTTGGAGTCAAACTTTAAACATTTCATCAATGGTGTTGCACCAGAATTTTGAGGATAGATTACATGATTCGGCACCTTTGCCCGGTTCAGAGGTATGAAGGTCAAGCGTCCACATTTTAGAGAAGTCAGGTGTCTAATAATCTCGGTTGAAATATCGTCATTCTCAACTACCACTTGAAATAGGCTGCGCTCATAGAACAAACAGCAGATGACAATAGCGACCGTGATCATTAGCGAGTAGTGAAATCATTTCATTTCTTTTGTTTGAATAAGAGATTAAGGTCATTATTCATAAATATTAGCAGGTTTCTCGCATACCTGTTTCCAGCAGTGACTTCAACTGCATTGAAATACTTTTCCTCGCAATCAACCAACTTAAAAAGTGGACCAAAAACTCCATTGATCTCATACTCTATGCAAATCCTTGGAATAGAGCTTAGCCCTCGCCTTAAATACTGATACAATGAATGGTCTTGAGTCACTAGCAGAAACAGGGAACTTAAAATGGCGTACAAGATACTTCTCAAAGCGGCAGAACAGACAATGTATGTATCTAATGCATCAACTAGTCTTGGAAAATTTTACATTTTCATAGCAAACAAGATAAAAAGAGATACCAAAGCCAATCACTCACCCCTGGAGTTGCATTTTTAAGGTTTTTTTCTGCCCTTTCAACTTCGGTTTTCAACTTCTCAATCTCAGAAGATAGGTGACTTTCTTCTCCCCACTTTCCCTGTGTAAACATATGTCTCCTGATATATTTGAAATGTACTTAAGGTATGGTAATGAACTAATAGAAATACTCTTACGTCCTTTTTCTATGTTCTTCATCTCTCTCCCTCTTTTTAAAATTGAATTGTTCATGTGACTTGGAAATGTGAGCTTTTAGATCACCAATTCCAACTTCATGTTTCTTGATGTGTACATCAAGCTCTGTCAAATCAGTATTGAGGCGAAGAATCTCATCCTCAAATTTTTGCTCCTACAATATATAGAATAAAACATGTTATATCACCAATCATATGCATCAACTATAAAGAGATCCAAATGTCATAGAAATGCCATCCTTTTAACGTTCAAAAACATTGTCTAATCATATGATCTAATTGTTGCTATGATGATGTATCTTCCATATTTGATAAACTCACTTGAACCATATTTGAGTCTAGAATACGCTCGAGATCTTCAATCTCCTTTCGAAGCCATTCGTCTCGAGCAGCCTTATTGGAGAACTGAGTTGCACGGCCCTGTTTCTTATAAAGAATGCTCAGCTTCATTTCCAGCTCTATGATTCTGTAAGAGAGAAAAATACCATAAAACAGTAGTTTTCAATGTAAGTAGACTCCAATACAAAATTTACACACAACACAAAAAAACAACATATAATCGAGGAACACTATTACTGGTACTGAAAAAAACGGAAAAAAACAATAGAAAAAAACGAAAAATGATTTATAAAAAATAAAGACGGTAAACAATACAACAAAAATCCGACCAATGTAGAAACCAAACCACAATTGAGCTTAAGATACATTTAAAAAAGTAATATATAGCTCTCAACTTAAGCTAGGATTTCCCACATCACATGCACATTTTTTCAGATAATCTCGCACAACAGATAATCTGATTAACGAATAAAAAGGAATTAAAAAGATTTTATTAATGAATAAAGGAGAATTAGTTACCTAGATAGAATGAGAGACCTTATAGCGAAAAATTTACTTTGCATATATTATATATGATATGATTCTAAATGTTTTTTTGATTAAATTTCAATTAAATTTTTGTTATTTTCTATTTTAAATATTTTTTGATTAAATTTCGATTTTGAATAATTTTTATTAAATTTAAGTGTTTTTTATTAAATTTCGATTTTAACAGTTTTTTTATTAATTTACGATTTTTAATATTTTATTTTATTACGATTTTTAATAATTTTTAATTAATTTACAATTTTTAATAATTTTGTTATTAAAATTAATTTAAAAAATATAAGAAGGGGTAAAAGGTAATTAGCCACCCTAAAATTGAATGAGAGAGCTTTAACTCAAAATTTTACTTTGCTTATAATATATATATGATATGATTAGAATTCGATTTTTGATAATAGACAAATTATACGAATAACAATAATTACAGCAATTATTTCTAAAATGTCATAATTTAAATTTTGAATTAAAAAGATACTTAGAATTTAGAATACGAAAATTAATTATCCAACATGAGTTATACAAAAAATTATACGGTCTTCATATTTTTATATTTAAAGAATAGCTATCCTTTCTCTTATTTGAAAAAAAAATGGATACATTGTGGAAATGTGAGTGAAAGTGAAAGTTACATAGTGAAAACGTGTAAAGTAATAAATTCTAAAGTGAAGGCTAAATTACCGAACAACCTATCCAACCTTCCAAATGGATTCTTCCATGTCTCAGAAAAAGCATGTTATGACTGTGACTACTCATTATGTTACTTTTCCATCATGTAAAAGATTGAAGATACTTTCTCTTCCCCTCCTTTTTCGGTTAAGTAAAATTATTTTTAATGTTAAATATGTCTCTTAGCTTATGTTTGATTAAAAAAATATTTAGAAAATGTGCTGAGTTGTTGCCACAGATGTATTAAAATAAGGTATGTATTATGATCACACTGATTTATGAAAAATTCATGTGAGTATTCATCCGCATGATATGCATACAATGATAGAAAATATTCCATGATAAAACTTGGTACTAGTTTATCGGACGATAAATACGATATCATGACCTATATAAATATGTTATTGATTGGTCTTCTTCATTACTAAAACTTACACCTTTTTTTTCTTGCCGCTTTGCACAACTATAAACTTACTTAAAAGCTTCATTATACACCTTTATGTTGCGACACAAAAAAAAAACACCTTTATGTTTTTTTTAAATACCTTTATGTTTTTTTTTAAATACCTTTATTTTTTGGCATTAGCTAAACACAATAGATCACTTTGCAAACGTCAAAAAAAAAGAGTATTATGTAATATATACATGAAGTCATGAATGATGAACCATCTAGATTCTAGAACTAAGTGAGCAGGATTTGAATTTAACTAAGCAGATAAATTGAAGTTAGAGCTCATATGGTTCAATACCAGATTAATTAATGTCCAGCTGCTGTTTCTCACCCTACTTTTTAATGTAGATTATTTGTACGTGAAAATCAAAAAGAAATACAAATATATACACCACCTAAAATACACAATTTATCACTACGAATCAATTATTGGGTATACATTATTGTTATGTATGCACAGCTATTTTTTTTGTTAAGGGTTTCACAGCTATGAACTTCAAAATCAAAAAAAAAAAAATTCGATCTCCTTATCAATTTTTCCTTGCACTTTCTGCGTTATATTTTAATGGAACGATCTTTTTATGTGTGTGAATGACATAAAATCAGAATCTACGAAAAACATCCTTTATTGCTTTTGTGAGCTTGAAGCTTTCTCTGCTTTAAAATGAAACGTCTATGTGTTGTGTATTATAGGCCTCTCCTTTGTTTTTCTTACTTCCTAGCTAAGTATTTGACTCTTTTTTTTGTTTGTTAAGAATACTCGGTGTGCCAAAAATAAAATAACTAAGCTTTAGTAACAGCCGACAAAAAAAAGCTTTAGTAACAAACAAAGAATTACCAAAAATCTATATTTGAGTAACTCAGTTGATTGTAGCTTAGAGTTGGCGGAGATAGATGAATATTGTTTTGCATTATTAAAAGACGAAATGTTATTTTACCCAAAATAAAAATAAAATAACTGAGAGTTTTCTTTTCCTAATAACCTAAACATAAATTAAGAATGATATAAAATTTCCATTTTCTCAGTTAGAACCGTTTGTTTTATAAAAATTATAAACAGAGTAAAACTAATATGGATCCGCTTGAATATGCATTATTAGTTTTGGTTTGAACTCCCTTATTCACTATATATTAAATTCAAGATTCCAATAAGTTTTTTTGCTTTTCAGACATGTTGGAATGCAGTTTTATTTTTCAAATATCCAAAAATAAAACTATTTAACCTAAATTTAAGTTGGTTATGATAACATAACGCTCTAATAAACTTGCCAATACAATAATGTTACGTTTTGGGTGACGAAGGAATCCAACGTGGAGAATTATTAGGTCAGTTGAAAAAAATACTGGCAGAGTGGGAAGGTTAGATATCATTTGGTTGATTGATTTGTTTAAAATATGATCACATGTGCTAAATTAGCTTGGTTTAGACTGCTGAAAATAAATTCTGGGAAACAAAAGTAAACCTCAAGCGAAAAACGTAGTAAACTATCAAAAATGTAATATTAATTTTTAGTTATTCGGAAAAATAATGTTGTGGAGTTGGTAAATATTTTAATTTAAGTCCACAGACTTCATGATTATTAAATAAAGCCTGCATACTAGCTCGGAGATGCGCATCAAATCAAATAGAACATATGTATGTAGTCATGTAATGTAGGGATGTGCATTTAACCGAAACAGAGTGGTTTTGTTGTTCTATTTTATTTTGCTATACTGACGAGTTAAACTATAGCACTAAGATTTAATTATATAATATAATTAGATGCGAGGCATTTTTCTGCTGGAGAAAAAAGGTTGAATTATGTTGTAATGAGAGGACGCCTTTTCAACTTTATTTTGTCCAAAACCTTTTTCAACCTTTTTGGTAAAATCCTTTGTAATTACTTATTCAATGGCTGGAAAAACAAGTATAAACCTTTTAGAAAACCGAAAACAAACACAACAATATAAACTTGAAAATGCAAATGCCTTAAAATACATACTTTATTAATCGGTTTCAATCGTTGAGTATCTACGCACACACAAAAAAAACAAAAGATTAGAATTTAATAAATTTTATATGGTGTTATTGCATGTTGTATTACTAACTGCTTACCTTTGTTTATATAGTAGCTAAAAATACGGTATCGTATCCTTATAAGTATGTGTTTAAACAATATAAATTGTAATGATGGTTATTTAGATAATTCTAAATCGGTTTTGTAAACTTTTAATGAAAAATCAAAAGTATTGTTCACAAAAAAATAATAATAAAAGTAACATAAAAATGCGGAATGGTAAATTAAAAATATGGACAGGCTAACTTCCAACCAAATCAGTGAAGGAACATATTCGCCTTCTCACTCATCGCCGCAAAGGCAAAGAAAAAGATGAGAGAAGTGGGACTGAGCATGTTGGTTCAATAATTTACCCGCGGGTAAAATCGCGCCTCCAACGCCAATCGCTGACAAGATTAACTAAAAAAAGTGAGATCAAGATTTAGGCAGTCACTTTCTCGGGATCCAAGTGGTCACTGTTCTTTTTTTTTTTCAGCACACCATAACCGTTAATTCAGTTTTTTGCTAGAAGCTCCCTTGACAAATTGTTATTAACAGATATAAGATTGAATAATTAGATTTACAGATTCCTGTAACGACAAAAAAAGTTTCTTTGGTTATAATCAAAACCCGTGCAGATTGAAATTAATGAAAATTAAACTAGTCTATATTTTGATATCGTATTAAAAAGACTAGTTCCAACATTTTATCTTTGATTTCGACTCATTCATGTAAGAAGAGTTTTCAGAGAAAGTTGATTCGATGGTATTTTTCAGTGTAATTAAAATGAACTTTAACCTAGACTAAAATCGAGATAACTAGTAACCACCGAGAACATCCCTAACATTATTTTTGTTTTTTAAGCTATGCATATGACTACATTCTAGATAAGAGATGTTTTGACAAAATTGACTTTGGTATTCTTCGTTGACGTTGCTGATCATATTGTGCAAAATCAAGTTTGTTTTTGCAGTAATTTATATTACCGTTTAGAATAAAGCAAAGTTCTTAAAGCCTCAAACCACTTGATTCAATTCATTACTTTCTTGACCAAAATGCATGTTTTAAATCTTCTTTCAAGGAAGTCCCAAATGTTTCTTGTTTAAACAAAGAAATGAAACATTTTCAACAAAGTAAAGAAATGTTTCTTGAATAAAACTAGACCCGTTCTAACTTCCTGAAATTCTAAGGAGTTTTTGTACATAATTTTTTAAGCCCTTTTATTTTCCTTCTTTTAGAAATGTCTTTTCGATCATCAACATAGTGGAGCTCGAACATCTCGTGATCGAAATCTGATTTTGACATAACAAAAATAAAAAGTAAAGAATCTTTTTATCTACTGTATACCATTTCGACATAAAAACTTATCAATATATATATAATTCGAAACCTCCATTATAAAAATCATACCTTTCAAAAACCTCTTCTCTCTACCTTCTTCTTTCTCACAAATTCGAGAAAGAGAGAGAAAAAAAAAAACTAATTCTGTTTTCACGAGACATGAGAGTCTCTGCTTCATCGGACACCACGAACAGTAACTCAGGAGGAAGGAATCTTGCTGGCTACAACGAGCCAACTTCAGTCCTCGACCTCCGTCGAAGTCCAAGTCCAGCGGCGGCGGAGGAGAAGCCAGTCATTTCGGCGGCGGAGATTACTGGTGGTGATAATCAGTTTCCGTTAGATGATCATGTGATGCGTTCCATGGATTGGGATTCGATTATGAAAGAATTAGAATTAGATGACGATTCTGCCCCTAATTTGAAATCAAATTTCCTTTCGTCTGCCATTTCTCCCCACTTCGCCGTCGACCAACAGCTTCCCGGTTTTCCCGATCAGCTTCATCCGGCGGAGTTTCGGTCCTCCGATGTCTATCCCGGTGGTCAAGGGTATGGGTTTGAAAGCAGCAACAACAACAACAACAACGAAGGTAGTGTCAATGGAGGCTTTGATTTCATAGAAGATCTCATCCGAGTTGTGGACTGTGTCGAATCGGACGAGTTGCAACTCGCTCAGGTGGTATTGTCACGGCTCAATCAACGTCTCAGATCTCCGGCGGGTAGGCCGCTTCAAAGAGCGGCGTTTTACTTCAAGGAGGCTCTCGGATCGGTTTTATCCGGGTCGACCCGGAATCAAAACCGGTTAACTTCATGGACCGAGATCGTTCAGAGAATTCGAGCAATCAAAGAATTCTCCGGGATATCTCCGATCCCACTCTTCTCTCATTTCACCGCGAATCAAGCAATCCTCGATTCTCTCCAACAATCTTCTTCCCCGTTCGCTCACGTCGTCGACTTCGAGATCGGATTCGGCGGTCAATACGCGTCGCTCATGAGAGAGATCGCAGAGAAATCATCAATCAACGGCGGATTTCTGAGAGTCACGGCGGTTGTATCGGAGGAATCCGCCGTCGAGACGCGTCTCGTCAAAGAGAACCTAGCTCAATTCGCCGCAGATCTGAAAATCCGATTTCAGATCGAGTTCGTTCTGATGCGAACCTTCGAGATGTTATCTTTCAAAGCGATCAGATTCGTAGAAGGAGAGAGAACCGTCGTTTTGTTTTCCCCGGTGATTTTCCGTCGTTTAAACGGAATCTCCGATTTCGTTAACGATTTACGGCGAGTTTCGCCGAAGGTCGTCGTCTTCGTCGATAGCGAAGGATGGGATGGAATCTCCGGAGCCGGATCGTTCCAGAGAGAGTTCGTTAATGGTCTCGAGTTCTACACGATGGTGTTGGAATCTCTCGACGCCGCCGCTCCGACTGGTGATCTGGTGAAGAAGATTATAGAAGCGTTTGTGTTGCGACCTAAAATCGCGGCTGCGGTTGAAGCGGCGGCGAGTAAGAGACAAGCGGGTGGAGAGATGACGTGGCGAGAGGCGTTTTGCGCGGCGGGGATGAGGCCGATTCCGTTAAGCCAGTTTGTTGACTTTCAAGCGGAGTGTTTAGTGGAGAAAGCGCAAGTTAGAGGGTTCCACGTGGCGAAACGACAGGGAGAGTTAGTGCTTTGTTGGCACGAAAGGCCTTTGGTTGCCACGTCAGCTTGGCGGTTTTAATAACTAACCGACGAGATTGGTTGGGTATAGATTTTAGAGGATTTGGTTGGCTGGTTGGTTTATTAACTTACATAAACATAATATGTAAATCGAATTCTATTTAATTTATCCTGCAATTTTTGTTTTTCCTTTTCAAAAATGTTCTCTCTCTTTAGCATGAAATAAGAAAATTTATTTCGTAAAACCTTTGCCAGATCTCCCATACATCTTGAGACTTGAGGTGTAAACCACATTGGTTGACGTGATTTGGGCTAGAACTGATTAGTGAGCTGGTCTAGACTCGTTTAGGTTCGATTCATTATTGGTTTGTGGTTAGAAAGTTGTTTAACGGCTGTAACATATAAAACAGAGTACTGATTGATCTTTAGGAGGTGTTAGCAAGAATTGTCGAGTGTGTAATTGTGTAACTTGCGATTAGTGGGTTGCTAGTCCTGCCTAGCTAGGGTTCCTCACACATAGAACTTATTTCGTAAAGTCACTCGTGCATATTTTTTGTTTTCTTCTTCCTCACTTCTCTGTTCTTGCTATGATTTCTCTGTTTTCCTTTCTTTGCTATTTTTTTTTGCTAAACAACTTTTCTTTGCTATTGTTCTTGAGAGATCGAGAGGGATCTAGATATACGAATGCAAATTCAACCCAGTTCCGCAACATTAAGCTAATGCATTAAAACCAATAGGTTCTTCATATTCCACATATTGGCTGGAGCAGAACTGCAGAAGTAGGAGGTTACAAGAGAGTAAAGTTTAGCAAGTTCTTACTGTAACCTCCAAACTATACATATATTTCCTATGTAAGTTTTGCAAAATAGTTTCAGACCATCTGGCTGTACGAGGATTAGATGCGAAAAGGTATTTGGCATATCACCCAAATCTGCATTGAGTTTGGATTGAGAAACGAAATTGTCGAAGAACATATGATGAGGAAACGATCTGGAAAATTTTCAAAAAAGAAATTTGATTAATATCTCGTGTATTTGGTTAACTCATGTATTTATAGATACTGCATCTTGGCTCTGGAATTATAAACATATTCCTGAACCATTTAGGAAAAATATGGTGGACTAACTGATCTTTCTATGAAAGAGACCAATGCAAAGCAGAAAAAGAAAATTGTATGTTGGGTCTTTGGTATCTCTTGAAATGGTATGAGCGCATCAGGTTATTTTCTGTCTAGTAAATCCACTAAATGATAAGTTCCTGTGAATCGAAACATCATTGCCCAAAACAGAGACGTGGAAGTGAGAGCAGAGCAGGTCAAAACAGAACATAGCAGAGTCAAACAGAGCATAACAGAGTCAAACAGAGCATAACATCGACTATTGGAGTAGTAGCAGTCTGAACAAAAAGATAACTAATTACGAGTTTTAATCTTGCAAGTATATACTTTAAAAAAAAAATCAAAATCAAAATTAAAACCAACCGCAGCCGTTAGATCTTATCACCTTTGGAACTCTTATCAAAATCCTTTTTTTCTTGAGTGATATCAAAAGTTATATTTTGAGTGATATCTTTCTCATCCTGATTTATTTATTTTTTGACGAGCATAAAAAACCAAAACTCCCTAAATTGTGTATATCGGAAATATTGACCTAAATCCGAATCGAGACGACCAACGCCATCATTCTCGTCCTTTCTCCACCGTCACGGGTTCGTCTCTATTCGCTTCATATGAAAGCTTGCACCTTTGCTTTTCAATTCAGTCCAGAAAAAAAAAAAAGCTTGAACCTTTGTTGATTTGTAATTGTGGAAAATTGACCTCTGTTCTGCTCACTCTGGTTCTTACAAGTTACAACTGTGTGTACTCTTTTGAGATTCAATAGGGTTTAAATATACTGAGTCTACCACTAATCGCTTTGTAGTGGTATATTGTTCGTTTTCGTCAATCTAGAGCCTTTATTTAAACTTCAATCCAAAAAAAGAAAGAAAACAAAAATGTAGAAGCTTGAACCTTTAGTTTCTGTTCCGTCTTTGACAATTATTATTGTTATTTCTTGTTTCCTGCAACAATGTCGATTCCGCTTCATCATGTAGTTGGTTGCTCAAGTCATTGTAGTTGTGATAAGTGAATCCTTCTGTGGTCATTGTTCTCTCTCTATTACTTCAGCATTCCGCTTATCCTTTTGGTGGGTGCTATGTGGTTAATCTAGAAGTTGAATCATTTGATGTTTCAGACACTTGAATCTCTCTATGGATGCCAAAAGATTTGACACAACCTGTTTGAGGGATTCAATCAGCTGGCTCCCTCACGAGGTTCTAGGAAGCATCTTGTCCTTGCTTCCGACAAAACAGGCTGCTTCAACAGCTCTTCTCTCGAAACAGTGGAGGTATTTGTTTAGACTGGTGGATAACCTCGACTTTGATGATTCTGTCTCGCTCCACGCAGGGGAGGATAAACTAGCGTTTCCGGAGAGCTTTGAGAATTTCGTGGATCGAACACTGTCCTCTTGCAATGTGATTCTCCCATCAAGAAATCCTCTCTAAAAGTTGTCTCGTACGATGAACGCCAAAAGGCTTGTGTGGACCGCTGGATATCTAATGTCGCAGGCCGTGGTGTTTTGGAAGCGGACCTAAGGATAAAAGATATGGGTACACTCTCTCTTCCTCCTCAGCTCTTTGCAAGCAAAACACTGGTCAAGCTTACACTAGGGTCACAGCTCTATCTTGAAAACATTCCTTCATATGTGTTGCTTCCATCTCTTAAGTTGCTCTTCATCGATTCTGTTTACTTCCAATACGAAGATCTGTGTGGTGTGCTTCTTGCTGGTTGCCCAGTGCTCGAGGAGTTATCAGTCCATCACAAAGGCTTCTTACCAATGCCTCACACCATATCGAGTCCGTCCATCAAGAGACTATCAGTTTACTACGATTCTCTTTATTTTAATGGTTGTGATTTTATGTCACTTGACTTGCCAAAACTTGTCTACCTTGAGTACTCTCATTTTGCGTTGGCTGAGTATAGACAAGTTAACCTAGAACACCTAGTCGATCGAAGCTAAGATGGATCTTCATCCGACAGATATGGTGAAGACGCCGGATGTAACCGATCTCATTGTGGGGATAAGAAATGTTGAGATTCTTCACCTCTCTTCCGTTTCAGCTCATGTAAAAGTTTTGGCCACTTTCTTTTTTTCTTTTCTTTTAAGAACATTGGACATTCTTGAAAACTGTGTTTGTGTTTGTTTCAGGTGATTTATTCTTACTGTAGATATAAGCTGCCGGTGTTTGGCAATTTGGTCAATCTATCTTTGGGGATTAGGAATACGTGAGGTTGGAAATTGCTGGCATACCTGCTTAATCAGGCTCCAAAGCTTGAAACTCTGATCGTCCATGTATATTCTATAAGCAAAACATATGAACAAATATATATGAACATACGCAAACTTAGTGGTTGATCGTTTGCATAGAACTTGTTGATTGCTGCTGCTTTTTCAGGTTCTGAATGGTTACACAGGCAATGTCTCCATGCCTCTGAACAAAGTGAAGGCGTTGCATATCCCTGGTTATCGAGGAACTGCGGAAGAGTTGAAGAGTTTTTTGGGGGAATTCAAATGCATTGAACGGGTTCAAGTGGATGTTGCAGAAGCTGCAGAGGATGATAACATAATACTGCAAACCAAAAGGGATCTAATTATGCTTCTTGCAGTTTCACTTCCATCCAACTGCTACTCCAAAGTCACATAAGTCATCTAGTTTTATTCATACCATTATGCTATGTAAATTTTCACTCATATGAATCTCACATTGCACTTGCCGTTTTTCTCACACTTTGAACTCTTGTAGTTTTTCACTCTTTTTCTCTCGAGTTATAGAGAACGGATTGGTAGGAATCATTTCATCACATCAACGGAGAAGCAAGTTGGAAAGAAGTTCGTGTGATAAAAAAAATTTCTCTGCATTCTAAGGAGTGATGTTGTGATCCATATGTGATTTGTGGCGTCAAATGGTTAGAAATATAAAAAAAAATTCTTACGAATTGTTTATCTTACTTAGAGTCTTGACCTTAGTGTCTCTTACTATCGATAGAACAAGTTGTGGCTACTTGTACATATCTTTTAGAACAAGTTATCTAAAATAAAATTTGGTCCCATTTAAAATCAGTTTTTATTGACAAATTAGATAGAAACTCAAACTGAAAGAGAAGATAGACCACTGTATATCATATTATATAACTAAAAAATCCAAAACAAAACCCCTTATTGAAAAATAGTGTTGAGATAGTAAGGCTCTGTATGTGAATCAATAATTATTCTCCTTTTTGTACGAATTCATTCGTTTGGCAAGTTATGGAGACGGGTGGAGCCCACTACATAGACATATGCGAAAGCTTCACTCAAACTTGTACAATTCTGAATAATTTTTAGCTTAGAAATTAAAAAGTTGAGATTAAACAAGAGGGACAATACAAACAAAGCAGCCAAAAACGCAATCAAAATAGCCAACCTGGAAAGAAATGATCACACCGTCAAAAAAAAAAAAGAAAAAAAAGTCAAATACTTGGATTGATTAGACCACAGTATAACAAGTGTAAAAAATGAAGCAGGATATTGTCGATATTTTCACAGAACTTCCTGGAAAATTGAATACATACGATTTAGCCATGGACAACACTCCTTGTAGGACACCAGATGTGCCACCAAGAACGGGAAGGAGAGCAAAAAGCAAACCCACAGCACAGTCCTAGAGATTCATGAAACCATAAATTAAAAATCTAATGAAAGCAACTGTTGCTTGATGAAACGCAGTGGCATACAAAATAGTGCGCAGAAACAAACGCTGTGAAAATTATATAGATGTGCTATTTTGGAGAGTGGCTAGATACCTGAAGGATAAGAGTTCCAACGGTTATCTGGCCATGTAGAGCACTTATGCTATTTCTTTCCATTAAAAATTTCAAAACCTGGTAAAAGCATCACGACGACCTAATGATAACGTATGAGAATTAAGCAGATTTGAGGAAAACATAAGCAGTCCGTAAAGATGAGATAAAATACAGTGAGAGTGCAATGAATAAATTCGAACAGTGTAGAACATGGTCAAAATATTAGAAATTTCTCCTTTAGATCCCATTGGTCTTTCCTTCTTTCTCGCCGCTCCTTCTTATGCATACTGAATTTTATTATTTTTGTCCCTCAGATTTGAATTAAATTAATACATTATCTTATCGAAGAGAGCAAAAAAAAACGGCTGGGTCTCTCCGTTTAGTGTATGAATCGTCATCTCCAAAATATTTGACGGTTGACAACTAAGTACAGAGTTTTTTAACTTCTATGTAATTAATTCTATAAATATATGTGTAACCACTTAAACGTACTTATCATTATATAAGACTAGTGTATCATCCGCGTTACGCGCGGACGTTTACCATTGTTTTTATATTACGATTCTTCTTTATTATATTATACACATGTTTTTTCCTTTTTTTATAGTTTTATATATGGGAGACTTATGTCTCTTATAAAAGGTGTTATTCGGGGTGTTTTTTTTAAATAATTTTTTGGTTAATGTTATGGAAGTGCTATATTTATTCTTGTTAATTTATTTTTGTTTATGAAGTATTTGTTTTTTCGTTTTTTTAATTTGTAATTGTGAAAGCACTTTCTCCGTTAGTATATTTTGTATAAGGCCTTGAGTCAAAAGAAGTACAAAATGTCTATATTGAAATCGGGTTTGGATGGTTAGTATGAAAGTTTTTTTTTAGTCTGTAATTTTTTGTATTATTTTATATTAGCTCATTTCCAGCTATATTTATTTATTCGTTCGATGTTTATGAAATCTCATTTTGATTATACAAAGCTGTGTCCGTTTTTAGCCCTTCATAATTGTAGGTATTAATCGATAGCTCTCTCAAATGTTGGCAAAACTCTTCTATAGTTGATAGAGGGTGCTTCAATTGAAAGAGGGTGATTGAAATTTTGGTCGGACCAACCTTTTGTTCATACCCATTCCTTTGGTCTCTAATTGAGTCATTTTTTTATCCTCCTTCTCTTTCTTCCTTGGGTGATTCAGTGATGTTTATTTCGGTATTGTCCACTCTTGCAGTGCTTTTTTCCAGAATCGGTGCCGGTCTAACCCTTTCCCATGATTTCTTAGATATACCTCTATTCGTCATCATATTGGGGAGCTGATCAGTTTCTCAGCTTTGGAATTGGTTTTTTGGGTGTGCCGTTGGTGACTCCAATTTGGCGTGGATTTCATGGATTCTTTTTGGGATTGGTAGAAAGTCCAGCGTTTATGGTTAAGCTGAGCTGAGTTTTTTTTCTGGAAAATATTACTTCCGTCGAAAAATCTGTTTATGCAATTCTCTTTTGATGGTGATTCCGTGATTGTTGTCGTTCATATGGTTTGTTTAATTTTAGTTTCTGGTAGTGTGATATTTGATTTATTTAAAGTGTCTCATCATTTGCCGTTACTGAAGAAACCGGACAAACTAAAAGTTTTTAAAAAAAATAATTGCACAGATGGCTGCTGAGGTGGCTGCTGAGGTGGCAGCACCAGAAGAGAGAAAAGCTATCTTTATATATATATTTTTTTTACCGGATTACTTTTGTTTTTTTTTTAAGTTTGTAGAAAACCAAACTTTTTACACCACGTTGAAAAAAAAAAGAGCCAAATTTTTAACACAAAAAAAAAGAAAAACAGACTTAAACCGAAAAAAAAAAATCAATTTTATAGATTTACTGAACAGCTTCCTAAGCCCCTTCCTTTTGGAGCGCTTCCTCATGCTGAGCCGCTGGAGACACCGGAGCTGCTGGAGACACCGGAGCTGCTAGAGGTGCATCAGCCGCCAGAGCCGGATTAGCCGCCAGAGCCAGATTAATGACACGCCACTTCTTAATCTCCCTCTTCTTTTTATCATCCACTTCCTTTTCGGTTAATCTCGGGAAAGAAGGACGCATTAAATCAAGAACACGTTGAGATTTCACACCCTTTCCCTCTCTGTTAATGATGTGTATTTTTAGTTCAATTCTCATTTGTAATTCAACTGTTCCACTTTTGCAAATGTTTCAAAACAAGAGAATTCAGAAATTTCTTCCTTAGTTCTGTAAAAACCATTTCTCTCTCTTTTCTTTTTTTTTGAATTACAAAATTTGTTGAATGTTCACAAATGTAAAACGATATTTTTGATAAAACGCGTCTTGAAAATTACAGTTCACTGTGTTTCAAAACGATGTGCATTTTTTGTTTAAAGTCACTTTACATTTTCAAATCGTTTACAAGTTTGAATTTCAAAATTTTAAGAAAAAATGAAAATTATTAATAGTAAATACTTTGATAAAACATGATATACTACTACACTATGTTTTCAATATATTATCATTAGAAATTGAGTTTTTGAAGTGCTTTTTTTTTACCATTTCTCGATTTGTGCGAGTCATCCTTGCGCAGGGGCCATACTAATTTTCTCTGTATCGTTCCAATTTTATCGGATGTCCCGAAGGGACAATCATATTGTTGACTCTTGCGATATATAAACGTTTGTTTCACTGATCTTATAAACGATGTGCTATAAAAAAAAATTTGAGAACAGCAAAAATTGGGCCTTTTTGGTGAACTAAATAATAAGCCCATTATATAACTAGCGAGGCTTCTCGGATTCCTATATAAAACAATGGACCTTCTCCTCTACGAAGGATTGATTACTGAGAGGATCTTAGCTCGGCTATAGGAAGAGACAAATGTGTGGAAAGTTTCTTTGATTTTAAAAATTGTGTGAAATGTAAACTTGTATCTTATGGTCGTGTATAACGATTTTGGGCCTGAAAATTGTTATTATAAACCTCTTGACACATTGTAAAACGTGTTTCTTGGTAAAAATCTAGGGCTTAAGAATCTGGATTTTTTCTCCCTCGCGTAGATCTTCATCCAAATATTCAGTTATGGTTCCAGAAAACGGAAAAAAACTCTCTAGAAATCCAAATTCAGATGAAGGACATGAAGAATTCAATTTGGAAAGTTACACAGGGACAATGCTAATTTTCTCTATATTGTTCCAATTCAAGGTTACATTCGAACTGGTGACACTGGCAATATATAAATATTTATTTTGCTGCAAATGGAAGCAATGCAGGACAACAAACGTAGACTTGGAAGAACAAGAATTAAAGGTGGGCCTTGCAAGAACGACATTTTTTCGGATTACTTTTGAAGGAGTGTTGTGTGAGTGTGTGTGTGTTGCATGTAGTGAGTAGTCTTAGCATAACTGATTATCTTATCTTCACTTAAGACAATAATCTTACGAGTCCTTTCTCCATTTTCATTAAATTGATAATCTTATCTTATTGTCTTCTTTTGGAACATGAATCTTTGTCTTCTTGAGAGCTTTTGTCTTCTTGAGAGTTTTCTTGTCTTCATTTGGAATTTGAATCTTTTTCTTCTTGAGAGTTTTATCTTTTTGAGCATATGAGTTTTTTTTTTTGTTCGAAGAAGAATATAAGCGTTATTGCCAACTAATAAATATGTTGTATAAAACATCACCATGAGTTTAATTTGCTAAAAAAAAACTATATTATTTACAAATTTAAGTGGAACCCCGTAGCTAAGAACACAACTAAATATTTAAACTAAATGAAATAAACTTAAATATTTGTAATGTTTTCATTTTCATTTCTACGGCTTCAAAAGTGCACTATATAAAATGTATAGGATAAAAAAAATCAAATTTACATCATATAAATAACAAAAAGATGACCAACTTTTTAACACATCAATCCATCATATCTTGACACATATCAACTCTATACGCCAATGCATATAATGTATCTGACTTCAACTTTGAAAAGTACACATGCGCTTGTTGCCTCTTTAAACTTTAATTTAATCTCTACTTACTAAATTTACACCAATCGCATTCTTTTTATCACTTCTCGATACCACTTTTTGTTCGGAATAAACTGCAATTTATGGACACATAAACTATACGCACATAACACACCTCTCCATATATACAAATGTATTTGTCAGTATCTTAGTGGTTTGACAGAATCTGAACTTTATGTGACCATTTAACTCTTATACTTGAGAGACAACGAATAGCTTCAAAACTGATTTGGTCAAGAGATAAGAGAGATGGGACCATTAGCCTGCAAATTGTTCCCCACAAACCTATTGTTTCTTAAGGTTAAGAGTTTTATAATAGAAAATTTATCTTTCTAGACGTGGACAGGCATCCTATATTATCTGAATCTTTGTGATTCAAATAATAAACTGTTAATGGTAAGATATGTATTGCTAGATTTTTGTTAGATTCAATATTGGACCGTCCTACAGTTATAAGCTATCCAATTTTGTTGTCACATGAGGTGAACCCACATTTATTTTGTTACCTAATTGAGTTAAATTTTATCCGACTTTCTTTTAAGATTTTGGCAAAATCTTATCCTCCTAGATTTAAAGTTTTATCGTCGTTTTGTTTGTGTTTGTATATCATGTGCGATACCCTTAGCCGTTTGTTTTCTATGACTATACCATTCCACTAAATGTGTTAGATGATGATAAAAAGTTCTTAAAGAAAACCCAAAATTTATATAGATTGAATCAATTTACGTACTTTATTTTACAAAAATAAAAATATATGTCCAGAGTCCATATAGAAACACGTACCTACCAATCTGACCAGAAGACATGCTTTAGTTTCTATCAGGCTATAGATTCCAATGGTCCGTATACTTTTTGGTTGTTGTTTTTGACAACCAATACTGGTCTATATTTCTAATCAGTGATTGTACACGCACTGTTTCTTATACGTATCACACTATCACAGTAAAACGTATGATATGTAAATATAAATTTGCCAATTGATAGTTGTTTACTGCACACGGCAAAAAAATATCCTCTCGTTCATTGAAATTATGTGACTAAAACTAATGAAAAACGCAATCTTTACTCCTTAGCTAAATCTATCACTAATCTATAATAGTTTTACGGAAAGCTCTTAGAAAAAAAGAAGAAAATATTCGTCATTCATCGTCAAATATGTGGTTATACGGGTTTTTGAATGGTTGTGGTCTGTTGCTTCTAATGAAGATTTTTTTTTCAATTTTTTTTTTTTACTTTGTTGGTTAGACTTTTTTAATTGGTAATTTTTCTCTGGATAATAAATTAGAGTTTAGTTTGTATGTCTTAATTAATGATTTGTTCTGTTATTGTTTAGCCTATATATATATATATATATGTGTGTGTGTGGTTTGATCACATGTTCACATACAGTATAAAGTTCGAGGATAAATTTTACTAAGGTTTTATCTTCAAATATTTTATATTTGCCCGGGACAATATTAATGCTAAATAGTTTTATGGATAACAGCATACCCTAGAAAGACAAATCACAATTTACATGTAATTAACAACTTACGATTAATTAATACTTTTGGGGTCCAAACTTGACCTTTACATCAAACAAAGTAAAGCTGCTTTAGACCTAACTGGTTAAGCAATCAAATGTTTGGAGAAAGATATCCACAATATTACACAAGCGAATTAGACCCATAGTTCTATCTACATTCTGCGTCATCATAGATATCGATCATATGAATAATCTAGTAATCGCAAATAGCCCTAACATTTTACGATCAATATACTCATAACGTTATTATTAATTAAGCTAGCTAGTTTGTCTTCACATAAATTGGCTCATCCATTCTAATCCATCAATGTAGTCCGGCGAGTACAACAAATTTTCATAACCGTCACCGTCGTCTCCTATTTCGTAATCTCCAAAAAACGGTGTCGTTTGATTGGCTTCGATAGAGACACATGATGAGATTGGACTGTTGCTTGAAACTCCTTCGACTCTTTGTGCCAACCGTTGAATCTCTCTTTCAGCATCATGGAGTTGTTCTTTCAAATGAAGAACCTGAAATTAGAAAAAAAGTTAAAATAAGAATCTAAAACTTATATTTGATGTGATTAATAAATCAATTTATTTACTATTAATAGCTAATCCTGTTTTATGACTTTGATTTGATGAGTTTTATTCTGTGGGTCTGGTGATTATAGGCCCAATGACTACGAGGCAAGTGTAAACACTAGAAAACAAATGAAGATTGTACGGAAAGATAAGTTACATATACACACATTGACATTTTGTTTTTTGCGGTTTTTTTTATGTGTTTGTGTCTTTTTAATAACAAATACAAATCACACTATAATTTCTTTTTAATCATGCTATTGAGGTGACATAAAAAGTTTAAATTCAATATTTCGATTATTGTTGTTTTTTCCTCAGTTGCCTATAATGTATGTTGATTTCACTTGGTATTTCCTTTGTCTTTTGAAAGTATATAAAATTAATAAAGTATAACTTTTTCATATATATATATATAGAAAGAGAGAGAGAGAGAGAGAGAGAGAGAGAGAGAGAGAGAGAGAGAGAATAACCAATTTCTTCAAGTTAAACATTTAATATTTCATGTTTACAAGTATACAAATCTTTTAATGAAAGAGAAAACCGAGTAATCGTTATCTTTAATCAGCGAAAAAATTGTTAAAACGTTGATGGTACACAAAAAAAAAAAAAAACATTGTTCAAACTTAAAACATATATGTCATAGATATTAATAGATTATAATCAGATAATTTATTCTTTTTAGAAAGAGAGAGACTATCACGCACCTCAGAATCCAGACGACACTTCTCAACGACGACGTTTTCGTGTGCGTTCTTGAGTTTAGTGTATTCGTCTTCAAGACTCTTGTTCTTCCACCGTGCACGGCGGTTCTGGAACCATACGGCGACTTGACGAGGATCAAGCCCTAATTCCGAAGCAAGACGATCTTTCCTCTCCGATTCAAGCTTATGCTCATCTCCGAAACTCATCTCCAGGAATCTCACTTGCTCATCACTTAATTTCCTCTTCCTAAACCACCCATTGCTTCCATCTCCACCTCCTTCTGTCGCTGCAACACTTTTGCTCTTCCTCCTCCTCCTAGGCCGTACTGGTTTCGATTCTCCTGCTGGCAAAATTGAAACCAATCAAAACTAACACTTTTAACCTACCAAAATGACTTAAGTCTAACTCTTTAAGCTTTCTTAATTAGTACCATGCACGTTTGTGAAAAAGACTAAAATAAGGCAAACTTATTATCAACAAAAATAAAGAAGACCCACTTGAAGATATTTGTATAACCAATTTTGGGTATTATTTTTCCTTCTAGTTCTTAAAAAGAAATGAAAAAGATTGAAACTTTAGAATGGGCAAACCTTGTTGTGGTACTGATGAAGTATAGACACTAGGATACATCTGAGAAATGATGAGGAGATTATGATCGTTTACATTCTGGTTATTCATGTTTCTTGTTCTCTCTCTAAATCTTCTTCTTCTCTCTCTCTTAGATTGAAGATTAATGTTTTTTGTTTGTCTCACTTTTTTTCTGCAATGAGGAAAAGATGTGTTGGGAGAAGCAGAGGACTTATCATTTATAAAGGAGGAGTAGGTGTCAAGGGATGGCTTGATTAAATTTATTTATTTTTGGGTTTGGGCTTTATGATTCCTTGATATTACATAATTGCAACTTTGGATATTAACACATCCTAATTTTTAAAGTCATATTTAATATATTGTTGCAATGGGAAAAGATGAAAACATATACATCACTATCTTTAATATTGTTTCATGTTGTGAAGACATGACTTTGTTAACTTGACAAATATCATTTCATCGAACACATGTGAAAGCATAATAAAGAAAGACTAAAATCAATAACTCCCAGTTAGAATTAATAAGACCATAACTTTCTCTCTAATTTTAATCCCAACAAAAAATTAAAAAATCTTTGTTTCTAATTTCGTAAGTAGATCAAGACATATACTTTAAAATACTAATCAGAATTTTTTTAAAAATGTATTCTTTTTCTAATAAAAAAGACTAAAATACGTAACTTTTTTTTGAACCAAATACGTTGCATTTTAAATTAGTCGATGTTGGGTCAATTGGAACTAAGACTCACCTAATTATTGTTAAGGTACTACTACTTTGTATTATGGCATATATAGTAATTCAGCTAGTTCATCTAAATTCATATGTTTTTTTTTCCAATTTTAAATAATTTTGAATGTATATTACATGCGATAAAGGTTTTACGTGTGATGAGAGGATTAGAAGAAGTCGTTATCAACATATCATATGGATAAGTCTCAGCAACAAACTGTAAGAGAAAACACTAGTGACTTGTCTTTCAAAAGGTTGTTTACTTTTACTTTCATATCTCATCTCCTCTCCAGTATATTAATACTTTTTTACTCACTCTTAATTTCAAACTATTAGTTTACTAATTACGAGATAACTTTAACAAAACCCCAAACATACATGCATATGATATTAGTTCAAATTCAAATTCGGTAAAAAAAAAAAATATATATCATGAATATGAAAAACATGTCTTTTTCTTAAAAAATATTAATTTTGTCGATATAAATTTGCTTAATCCAAATTAATTAGATAGTGAATTTTTTTAAAAAAATTTCAGATAGGCTTTAGTATTTACTTATCCAATGTAAACAAAGGCCGAAGACTGACAGTCTTGGGATCGGTATATTGTAGAAAAATAAAGATTGTTTTGAGGACTTAGAATGTGTAGAATGGAGTCTGGAGGTCAGTTTCAACATAGTATTATATTTGTTTAAACTCATTGGTTGATAATTATCGTCGTTTAATTTGAGGGGTTATTTGAAGTTTTAATTGCTTGTAGATTTGGACTCTGTAAAATTTTGAATCTCTAAACTAGGAGAATAACATGTCCATCTCTCAAAGATAATGTATGGTCAAAGAACTTTGAGGTTTGGAAGCAATGTGTTAGTTATAACTTTTTTTAGTATCTTGGAAAAAAGAAACTATTTTTGTAAGTATCAACATAATTGTTTTTAATAAGCAATGGTTGTTCAGAGATTTGAAGATTCTTGATAGGAAACTAGATTAGAGTTTGAATGTTATTAGATGGTTGACAATCAGAAATGTCTCAAAAGTTGGTTTGATTTCGGTCCGAAAAATTTCAATATAATAAAAAAAAAAAAAATTTGAAAGTACTCGTTTAATATCAGCCTTAGAAAAGCCATTATCTGACGTTCGCAAAGTAGATTAAAAGAATATAATTTAACTATATGCAAAAATGCTTAAATATATCTATGTATATATAATACATGTTGATAAGTGAATATCGACAAAGGACAAAACAGTATTTTAGATCGGTTAACTCGGGTTTTATTAGATTGAATCGAAAAAATACAACTGAGTTCGGTTATTACGCAGAGAATAACGAACTAAGACTTTATGAAACTAAGAATCTAAAGTGATGAGTTCTCAGTCTCTAAGTCTTCTCTGGAATATCTTGTGTCCTTCTGGTGTCGATTCATCTTCCTTTATATATATATTCTGAGTCGGTCACCAAGTACATCTTCGGCGATATGGGACCGAGAGGACTTTCCTTTTCTCTAGGTCATTTTCCTTTTCTCATAGTAGTTTCCTTTTTTCATTGGGAAACTTTCTTATTCTCGACCGAACTCGGGGAACTTCTCGGTTCCTTCGAGAAGCTTCTCGCCGACCTCGGCCTAATGGGCTGCGTTCGGCCCAAGACTTTACTTGGCCCAGTTTTCCCGGTACATTCCTTCGTGAACCGGGCTTACGTTACGCCGATCTCGGTTTGTACCGGAGAAAACCGGGGTGGGGTTTTCACCTCCAACAATACAAAAAAATAACAAATATTAACAGATAAAAATTACTACTTATTAAGGGAAAAAACTCTCATCTTATGGTTTCCATAAGCAGTGTATATATACATTACATAACTAATGTATCAGAAACCCTAATGGGCCATGAGACATTAACCTGATGGTTAATGGGCCGGTTACTAGAAGTCCATTTGTTTATAACACTCCCCCTTGGACAAGGTAACCTTGCCTGTCACAAAACCGGGATCTCTATAATGCAATGGGGAACGTTGCCTCATTAAAACCTTACCAGGAAAACTCAGTTGGAAAAACCATGGTGAAAGAAAAAGAGTACAACACGCATTACTCCCCCTGGTTTAGGCATCACTGTAGATCTCTAAGTCTACGCATTCCTATCTGATGAATGAGCTTCCGGAGTGTAGAAGTCGGTAATGATTTAGTGAATAGATCGGCTGAATTTTCGCTTGATCGGACTTGCTGAACCTTGACCTGACCATCCTTCTGTAGCTCATGAGTGAAGAAGATTTTGGGCAGAATATGCTTCGTCCGGTCACCTTTGATGTAGCCGTCCTTGAGTTGAGCGATACAAGCTGCATTGTCTTCATACATCACCATAGGCTCCTTATCTTCGTCCATACCACAATCTGATCGGATATGCTGAGTCATGGACCGCAACCAAACACACTCTCTACTAGCTTCGTGAATGGCCAAGATTTCCGCATGGTTGGATGAGGTAGCGGCAATAGTCTGCTTCATGGATCTCCAAGATATGGCTGTTCCTCCATGCGTGAAAACATAACCGGTTTGAGACCGGGCACAGTGCGGATCTGACAAATATCCTGCATCAGCAAAACCAACTAGACCATCCTTGTTATGGTTAAAATAAAATAATCCCAAGTCCTTAGTACCTTGAAGGTATCTAAGGATGTGCTTAATACCGTTCCAGTGCCTTTGAGTTGGACACGAACTAAAGCGAGCTAAGAGGCTCACGGCAAAGCAGATGTCTGGTCTAGTGTAACTAGCCAAGTACATTAATGCTCCTATGGCACTGAGGTATGGCATTTCAGGACCGAGGATTTCTTCATCGTCTTTCTTTGGACCGTATGGATCACTATCCAATCCAAGGCTCCTCACAACCATTGGGCTGGTCAATGGGTGGGCCTGGTCCATATTGAATCTCTTGAGTACCTTTTCAGTGTATGCCAATTGATGCACAAGGATTCCGTCATTGACGTACTCAAGTTGTAATCCCAAACAGAATTTAGTTTTGCCTAGGTCTTTCATTTCAAACTCTGCTTTTAAGCATTCAACTGTTTGGGCGATTTCACCAGATGTTCCGAGGATGTTCAAGTCATCCACGTATACTGCTATGATTACAAATCCTTTGTTTTGATATTTTCTGATGAAGATGCATGGACTGATCGGATCATTTTCGTAGCCTTCTCTGATGAGATATTCGCTTAACCGGTTATACCACATACGTCCGCTTTGTTTCAGTCCATATAAGGATTTGTTCAGCCTAATGCAGTGTTTATCACGAGATGCATGCTTATCTTTGAGCTCAATACCATCTGGTAATCTCATATAGATTTCACTGTCCAGTGGTCCATAAAGATATGCGGTTACAACATCCATTAACCGCAAATCTAAGTTTTCTCTTATGGCCAGACTTATGAGGAATCGAAATGTAGTTGCATCCACCACTGGAGAATAAGTCTCCTCATAATCGATTCCGGGTCTCTGTGAGAATCCTTGTGCTACAAGGCGTGCCTTGTATCTAACGACTTCGCCGAGTTCGTTTCTTTTACGCACAAAGACCCATTTGTTTCCCACTGGTTTAACATCGAATGGTGTCCTTAAGATCGGACCAAACACATTCCGTTTCTTTAAACTATTCAACTCCACGTTTATGGCTTCTTTCCATTTCATCCAATCTGATCTACGAGTGCACTCAATTATAGACATGGGTTCTAGATCCTCTTGCGTGTGCGCAATCTCAAGTGCTACCTTGTATGCAAAAGTTTCATTGATGTCGACATCTTTTCTGTTCCATAGAGAACCAAATATGATATAATTGATTGAGATCTCATTATTATCAATCCCTTCAGAACCTTGAGTTTTGGCGTCCCAAACCTCTTGGGATGGTTCGATAGGGTAAGTATCAGCTGAGGCTGTATCCGTGTTCTCTTGAATCCCGGTTTCAATCATTGCACCTTTCTTTGATTTCCGGGGATTCTTATCTTTGGAACCTGGTGGTCTGCCATGTTTCTTACGCGCGTCAGACTCTGTAGCAACTTGACTTTTTCCTGAGGGGACATCTATTCGTACTGGTGCATTACAAGCTGGTATGTACGATTTGGTAACTTTGTTCGGGTCAGCAAAGGAATCTGGCAATTGATTAGCTAGCTTTTGTAAATGTATAATTCTTTGGACCTCTGAATCACATTCTAGAGTCCGAGGATCTTGCCATTGTGTGGATGTTTGATTCCATGAAAGTTCTTTTACCAGCTTGTCTGTCTCACCACCTAATCTAGGATATACCGATTCATCAAATCGGCAATCTGCATATCTGGCTTTAAACAGATCTCCTGTAGTTGGCTCGAGATATTTTATGATGGTGGGAGAATCAAAACCAACATATATTCCCATCCTCCTTTGAGGTCCCATTTTAGTCCTCTGTGGTGGTGCAATGGGTACATAGACTGAACACCCAAATGTTTTAATAT